AAAGGTCACTGCGCCACGGTGATGTGATCAAAGGCTAAAAATGTCAAAATTTTATTTGTGACCGCTTTAAACCCACTTTGGGGCGAGAATTTCAATAATCGGTCGACATTATTTCGACCTACAGCGACCGCGTAAATGATTTCAAATTTTCAAAATTTAAGCCTAAACCTTGTTGATTAATTTGGGGGCGGGGATTTCAGAAATCATCGTCACTTCAACGTACATCGACTGGTGACCGTGTAAACTAGGTTAAAGGTCATTAAATATCGAAAGGTCTAAGATATCACATTTTCGCGTTTTGAAGCGTTCGGATGCATATCGAAAATGTGGTATGCAATGCAGAATTTTAACTACTTCGCTTCCGCTGGCTGCATTATACTAGTTTAGTTGCTGGAGTTTATTATACGTTATAATTAGTTTTGAGAAACCATTTCAAACTATATGGGTTAACCGCAAAAAGTCAAATAAATATTAATCGACAATTAAGGGATTTTGTTCTGGGAGTATGAAAAATCGGCATTTTTGCATGACATAATTTATGGACGTTCCCTGATCGTGCTGCTGCTCATATCGTACCCTGGATTGACCCGGATGGAAAGCCACAACATTTAGAGATTTATAATAGGCAATATTGCAATTTGTAATTATTCGCCATTTTATAATCTTGCATTATATAACACAATCATTCATATTTCAAGTTGAGGACCACGCACAATGCAATAAACCAGTGGACATGGAAGCGTTGGGACAGAGGGACAATGTCCCCACGGTTATTTAATTTTCCCATATCAGCCCATGTTATACAAACCCCTCCCTCCCATATCCTAATTCTAATGTCGCAGATATCCCAAGGCTTCCGCGGTAACTTTGACAAACCATCAAACCCTACCCGGCAAGGTCCTGATCTCAACATTTTTTACAGGCGGATTGCATCGTTTGAGGCGAAGCACGTGGGTTTTGCCAATTTTTTAACTTCGCCTCAATCGCATGGGGGATTTATTGCCCTAACTTTATGAAGCTGATTTTTCCGAATTTTTTCGTACTGTTGTCAATTTTTTGATTTTAGCGGGACAAAATTGATTCTGTTTTAAAAAGAACGGAAAGGCCTCAACTTTGATGGCATGAAAATGACATACACCAAAAACGCGTGATTCTTGGCGGGCTGCTTCAGAAAAGTTAATCTAATAAATAATCAATTAGTCATGGTTTTAGCAATCGCTAATTTTGGAGGGATATGATGGCCACTCTGATGCCTCCGAGTGATGCATGCAATTGGACGAGAATTGGATTTTGTTTTGAGATTATTTATGTTTCTGGGAAAAATTCACAATTTTTACTAGAAAGTTGCCAGAAAAATAATCTTATCTAATGGGGGCCAAAAAATTGTAGCTAACTTAACCACCAAATCATTACACAAGTTGTCAAAACGTGACCAAATTTGATATGACGTACATAGATTTAATCGACTATGAGGGTATTTGTAATTGTCTTCGTTTCCTTCTGGTAAAATAGTTTACAGGAGAAAAAACAGCTTCAAATTCAGGAACCCCCCACCAAAAAAAAGCTTAATGAAATTTATTTTATTTAAAACTACCATGAAATTGTTAACAAATACTTATATTATATCGATTAATAATTTACAAAAAAACGAGGGGTCAAGCTTCGTAAAAATCATAAGCTTACAGATATTTCTGTATTTAGTAACGTGATTTTTAAAGCCAAAACTAACGATAATAAACTCACGTAATACGTAAGGTACATCCTATTTATATTATGTTTCTCTATGGGTGCATCATTCGAAATTTATGCTTTTCATGGGGTCATTACCTATTTAGATGTTCAAGTCGGTTGTGCTTTTAAATTATATAAGTTGCATTAATATTCCAGTTATGCAAATACATGATTGGCAGCACTCCGTGCATGCGCTTGCATACATAAATAAGCATAAAACAAAATAAAGTGTTACAAACGAGTGTAATCAAAGGGCAAAAAGTAATATTTAACTGTAACAAGAATGATGTAATTGAAATGTTAAAAGAACATTCATGTGGATTTACGTCGCTTTAGAGGGTACTATTAGTCCACGACTTTTATATCTCGTTTTCTAATCTGCACCATGAACCAAGGAACAAATTCTTCAAGCTGTAACCGTTTGCGAGTTATTTGGAGGGACGAAGATGATGATCTTTTAAATGAGTTTGATTATTAGTATTTGTGTAGTCCTTGCCCGAACTAACGTATAAATTAAAATTCGACATTATAGACGGTCATCGCATGCCATAATAACGCTAGATCTTGGAAAATATTATCGATTTAACCCGTCCCATGGCTTTTGGCATTAAAAGTATTATGACCTTACGCTTGACCTAGGGCCAACAAACTTTACCCCAGTCCTTACTCTTTATCCTATTAAAACAAAAAAACCTAAAGACGCAGAGTTTGAGATTTATCCTCGTATTACGGATGGACGGACATGGTGATCGCATAAAGTGGTTTCAACCCAAAATAACTTCCAAATTCCAAGACTGAATTACTACTAACGAACGGTTTGTCATCAATAAAAGTTTTCGAAAAGTATATAAAAAAGAACCAATCGCAAATATAACTGTATTTCTATTCAAAATTAATTAATAACAAGCTGAGAAATAGGAAATATAATTTCATAGTTTCCGATAATCTAATCATCAAAATCAATCAAGCATGGACATGTAAAGCATAAATCTTTGGGCAGTTTTTGCCCAAGTTCATCCTGAGTCTGAACTCTGAGTAAACCTTGGGAGTGGTAATGTTTCGTGATGTTTTTTATGAGGATTTCAAAAACTATTATCTCCGTAGTATCACAATCTAAGTAACTGATCGGATGAGCATGTTAGTCACAACCACAACCTGTTCTGTGCCTCTAAATCATAAAACATAACGGCAGCTCGTGCTCAAAACTAACGCAGTAACGCTATCAAGGAGGACTACATAATTTCTATACTCAACCACGGTGTTACTCTTGACATGCCTGAAAATTTATGACTACGTACACAAACGAGTCGAGCGGATATAATATTTTTTCCTTAGGGTAGCAAGCCTAGCAAGCTTCATATAAATAATATGTTGTACTGTACAACTCTCTCTCTCGAGTCATTCAGTCATGCAGTAAGCCCACGCTTGTACCTCACGAAGCTTTCCTCTCGATTCCGTACTCACATGAAGGAATGCGCTATAACTTACGTAATTCGACACTGCTGCTGCGCCGTAAAAAGCCAAGCAATTTAACAACGTGTGATGCGATGTGTACTAAAAGTTTGTGGCAATAATATTATACGAGTAATGCATGAGAATCTTATGGCTTGGTAATAAATGGAGTCGAGCCTCCTCTAGCTCGACTCTGCCGGTGTTTTAACCTAACTAATCTATACAAATATATGTATGTACTCATCCTCTGGCAGCGCTGAGTGTGTTTATTTATTACAGAAGGATCACAATTATAAAAGTGAAACCCCTTTATAAGATCGTTATGTCCGTCTGCCTGGACTGAGACTTGAACCTCAAATAACAATGTCAAGTTAAGGGACAGGGTTGATTATAATTCGAGCGCTGTAGGTCACGACGCTAGGTCATAAATACTTTTTTTTTGCATAAGCCTTGAAAAAAATATGCGCTTTTCAAGGCCTATCCAACGGGATATGTTATCCTGACCTGCAACGGCCTGGTGACCGTGGGGGAGACAAAATTCACAAATGTCGAAATTGTAGTTACAAATAAGGCGACCAACCTGCGCATACATGTTTTTCGCCATAGTTTCGCTCCTTTGTTGCACGCGCGCGCAGGTGTTTTATTTTTTACATTAATTTTTATATATTTAATTTCATCTTTTGCATAACTAGGATTCGGGGTTGGGATTCGAACCCGGATCCTTTGGCCTACACAATGTCTGTACAAGTCACTAGCCCACAAAATCGTTAGCTGATTTGTGGTATGGAATATATCACGCTTGTTCCACAACGGTATCTAGTCCTACCTAATTCCATTGTTTCTTCATTGTTTATGCCCCATGGAGTCGAACAATTGCAGACATACTTATATTGTACACATGGTAAACCCTGCTCGGAACCCGATCGGTCAGTTCACACATAGTTTGCATTTGCATCGTTGTGTTGCTTTCCTCCTCGTATCGTATCAGCATGTACCTCACAAAGTCACAAGCCTATAAGCTGGCTTCGTGTTTAGTTCTAGAGAACCCATCCAACGGACGAGTGCTGTTGGAGGAGAAAGGAATCAAAGAGCGAAAATAGTGTTATTATTATCATTCTGTGTCCTCTTCACCTGTTACCAATTAGAATTTGATACCCTAATGGAATCTCGCGTTAACAAGTGAGCTTTATAATAATGCGTTAAGTTAAGTTGAATGGGATAAGGAGAAGTTGTAATATACAAATGGTTAATACGTCTATTTTACGAATTATGGTGTTTTGAGCAGTTAAATAAACCACATGTGTGTTTTATTGCTTAGATAATAATTCCCCACCCACGTGTATAATAATAACTTCAAACTATATGTTATTATTGAACGGTGTCAACCTCCTTTCACCATCTTGTTTAATGAAAATGTGACTAATTGTAGTTCTGCGACAAACTGAAATTTAAATTGGAGGTGTAATTAACTATTTTATTTTGTGACTGAGTATTACAAATCTAGAGTTATACGTTCGATAACTTAGAGAAATATCCATTTATTTTTTAAATTATAGATACATTATCAAGTCTTCGTTAAAAAATATCGCAATGTTATCTGTGAGTAGCAATAATTCTTCTACTTTGCAAAACTTTCTCCTCAGATATATGGCTCAAGGATGTTTATTTCTCATATTATGGAAGAATGTTAATTTTTAGTGACGATAAGGGGACGTTCGTAAACTTCATAACGCAAATTTTTGATTTTTTGGACACCCACCCACCCCCTTTAACATGTGTCACATAGGCACGATATCATTGGGCTCTGACCACCCACCCACCCCCCTTTGCGTTACGAAGTTTACGAACGTCCCCTAATTACTCGGAGTGAAAGTTGTCATAATTTCGTATTAACGCGAATCAGTCGGGAGCAAATTCCGGATGGTGGTGTAGGTTTACTAGCTCTTCAGAAACATCGTTAGTATTAACGATAACGTGATAAATATATTTTCGATACTGATTACTTTTGAAACACAATTGGAGCACTTATTTAGCAACGTCGTCCCAGACGGCGTTATTAACTATAAAAGTTGTACTATTAAACTCCTGTAACTATAAAAGTTTGATTTGAATGAGGAATAACCGAACCGCGGACTGGCCCCAAAAAATTAGGGACTAATGTTAAGTCGTCAAGAAAATTTGGCAGGCTTGTGAACCACTATTTTTAATGACGACGACATAAAACATTGAACATATCATTTGAGTGCGAAAATCTCAGTAGTTCAATTCCTTTTCTACTATGTGCCCACGGATGGACGGATTCACGACAGAACGTTAACATGCATAAAAAGGTTTCATCTCATGCCATGTTTAATTTTGCGCAAAATTATGTAATTTTTTATTTGTTAATAACCTCTGATCTAATTTGGTAGTTGTATGCTAGATATCGAAATATTAAATACATATTTGCAAAAATTACTGGTAGTAGTAGTTCAAGTTATCCAAGTAAATAGTGTTATGTTTAAATTGTACCCATTCTACCTGGACTTTATTTCTATTTTTATTTGACAAAAATTGCAAATATTATTACTAGTTTGGATTATGTAAATATTTAGTGCAACATTTTTATAAAACGCCAGGCCGGTAAAAAATCAATAGTACTTATTTGTTTGACACCCTATTTAATTAAAGCTAAAAGTGGTGTAAGGTAAATAAACATGTAAACCAGTAAATATATCCGTGGGTTGATGGGTGGGTACAGTTTTTGCTCCTGGTCGATAAGCCCCCTCTCCACCAGTTTTGTTGTTAATAAAGTATGCGTTGGAACCTAATGTTCGTGTCCCTTAAAGAGTGATAAAGTGTCCAATAATCTTACGTTGGTATAAAATGCGTATGCATGCACTTTTCACAGCCAATAATACGTGACGTATAATTTATGAAATAGAAGCAATTTAGTTAACAGAAAGTTTTAGGTATCCTTCTGATGACTATTACATATATGTAGACCTAAATAGCCCTAAATAACTCAATTATACTTCTTGGCTCGGTGTGTGTAGTGAATTTCATGTATGCATATTATTTACGAAGGTTACGAAGAGTAATGAATTTGTAAATTATTTACAGGTGTTCGTCGTGAAATACCGGCAAATGTCAGGCCCGCTTGATGATACGTTTGTTGACGAGAAAGTCGAAGAAATAGAAATGCGATGATGATGAGAGGAGGAGAGAAGAGCTGAGCAGATACCAATGGTACAGATAATGAGTGATAGCGGACATTGCTCCAGAAATAGTAAGTTGATGTGCTTTAATTTAATCCCATAATGTCATTTGTAATATTGTAAGTACATATTACTTGAGAGTATTTCAGACCAGAATGTTTGTTTTGAAATGAGAATAATGAGAAACTAATTCGAGGTCTCCCAATGCGGAAATTGAATGTTAATAATAGTTTATCTTACCGATAAATATTTATACTACAGAATGAATTGGTTGAAGCATATTGGAAGAAGTTGACGACTACGCATACGTTTATGCACCTATTTTTAAAAAAAAAAACATTATCAAATGAGGTTTATGCGTCGTAATTGATCATATCAATGTGTCAATATTGGTTTGTATTTGTTTGGTAATTTATGGATGAATATTTGAGCAAATATGTCGAAATTAGCGGACTAGTACAGCGAGGATGGGCTTGCGCATTGGATGAATGCATTCGAGTTCGATTCTTGCCATAATTATGTCTTTAATTTACAAGTATGGAATTAAAATAAGGGCATCCATTTCGAACCAACTAGGACACAGGCTTGTGGTCGAAGGTTGCAATTTTGGAAATGGAAATGCATAACCTGACTTAAGAATATGTATATGTGCGTATGTGACATTGAACCATGTGACCTGGAAAACGGTCAAAAGGCTAAATATCGAATTTTCGTTTTTTCGATAGAAGGTGAGGCCAAAAAGGTCCAGGCAATTGAGAGAGCGACCAAAGTGCATAAGTTTATGTGTGTGGCTGCATACTTTTTACCATGTGGTGTGGTCACAGGTCAAATATTTAGCTTATACAATCACATTTAGAATACCATGACCGCTACTATTTGTGTTTCTGTTCATCACATTTTATTTAGGCAACCTGTCGCATAATGTTGTATCTGTAGACACTGTGTTTAATGATTTGATTGATCTCGAACTGTTTTCCATCAAAGCCCAAGGACATATGTAGATATGAAGCAGTGGAAACTTTTAACCTTTTCAGTTTTAGGATGTAAAGGGCATCCCAAAAGTAAGGTGCAGCTCGGTCAAGCATTGATTTTAAGGGTACGGGCGGGAAAAAATTGATCAGAGGTAAGTCATATTTTAGGTGATGTCATGTAGATTAAGACAACTGATTTCAGATTTCATCAAAAAATCTTGTCTATGCATTACACGAGCCGGAATCCAAAAACTCGGAAGTGTCGATTTTCACACGCACGAAAATTCATATCGGCGTGATTAGAAAAAGACGATTGATTACTTCGCCAGGCAAGAAAAACGTAGATTCGCTGTCGACCTAATAATTACAAGATGTGAGTTTGCCGGTGACATGAATTGCAAAAGAATATCAGGTCAGACGGTTATCCAGTCGACGAAAAGAAATGTCGAGAAAATTAGGATGTTCTCAAAGAAGCGTCCCGCAATTCCATGATTGCCGTATCCACAACACAAAAGATATCGAACTCAACGATATGTCGAATTAAACTTCACGTCTTAGGCATGAAAGGGTGTGTAAAGCAATCGGCAAAGAAAAATGTATGGACCCAGCACCATCAAGCTAAAACAGCATGCAGAAAAATTTCCAAAAAAGGGTTAAGCAAACTCGTGGTTATTTATGATGAAATCTAAGTGACCACTGACCCTGATCATGTTCCCGATCGTACATATTTTCAAGCAACTACTCCAGTAGATGCAAAATGCGAAGATAGACTAAAGCCAAAGACAATGTTTCAAAAGAAAACCTTGGTTATTCATGCCCCCGAACACATTGGATGAGATACACAAAAACCAAACAACGCTAAAAATGTACCTCAAACACCTGGTATCGAGAACTTCTGGGCCAATTGTCGAAGACAATATTCTAAACGAAAGAAAAAGTTTGCAATCGTTCGTTGATTTCGAAAGTTTGGAGCAGAATCGCAAAGGACATTTAGGAAAAACCGTGAAAACGACCCTTCGGCGGAGCTCGGAAGAACCTAATATCTCTAAGTTACAATAGGATAGGAAATTGGTTTAACGATAAAACTAACACATACAGATCCTAAGCTTTTATGTAAATTTAGTTTCTTCGAACAAAATTGAATTACAACAGAATGAGGGCCGTTTTTCCATCTGCACTTTACATATGGGATGCCCTTTACATAGTCGAGAACACTCAAGTGTCAACAGCTGATTGCTAAAAAACTACGCCGCAGAATTAAAATCTGATAAGTGCATTAGATTCGCCATGCGATTTACATTATGATTCACTATAGACTTTGTAATTTTTGAACATCTGGATAAATATATAGGAAATTGAAGAGAAGCGGGCGGCGATAGTTTTTCACAAAAAAAATCCAAGACAAATAGTGAATTTGACATGTGTTGAAAAAGTCAAAGGTGTACTTTAATTTAGCCCAACGGACTATAAAAACGTTCATGGGGACCGAATCGACAAAGAACAGTCGAAGAAGAATTTTTTGAAAACCTCCAAGGACCACACCCATCGTTAAGCCTCACAAGCCTGTAATCCGAAGAAATTCAAGAAATTCCAACGGAAACCGGGCCCGCTGCTGACAGTGTCGACGCAAATTATCCAATGATAGCTCAAATTGAAGCTTGGGCTTAAGGCTTTAAAATGCGGTACTTGCCACAGCCTGATCGTACCCCAAAAGAAAGCCAGATTAAATAAATGCAGGAGTCACCTCAAGCGGTACGCTCCAAAAAAGGGAGCAGGATTCTTTTTACGAATGAGGAGATTTTCACATCGGAAAAATCTTTTAACAAGCGAGTTGTCCTAATCTACGCAAAATTGGTCAAACACATCCCCCGATATAGACAAAAGGTCAGAAAGTCACATTTTCCAGGTTTTTTGATGATTTTGGCAGGTGGGAGATAAATGGGGTAATTTCTCTACATTTTGCGGAAAATTGGGGGGAGGTGGGGGAATAAAATTTCTTAAAATATGTTTTTGAGTCCGTGGTACATCCCCTAAGTGAGACCCAATTCAATGGAATCGATGGGACCTCTCAGCAGGACTCAGCACGAATTTATAGTGCAAAAAATGACCCAAGCGTAGCTAAAAAAGAAATTCCTGTCTTTATCTCCAATCAGAATTGGTCATCATCCTTGATGGATTTGAACCACCGGAATATGAAAAATGGTCAAAGTTAAGAGCAAAGGTGTGTTCTAAGCCCCGTAGAAGTGCCGAGGCTTGGAAAAAATTTCTGACCCTGGAATGCCACAATTTTTAATTGAAATTTATCTGGCTTTTCGGTAAAATAAATCAAAAATTGCTAAGTTGAAATTTACAAAAGTAATAAAGCTATATGTCATTGACACTTGAGTGTTTCCGACTATGTACAAAAGTAGGTAGATTAAATGTGTTACAGTTATAATCACGACTTTGAAGCTGTTAATTTATACATATGCTTATGCATAGCAAGTGCCAATTCAGAGTAGTCTATGATTGCACAATTTTTAATGACATTTGAGCCATTCATGCGCATGGCTGCTATTAAATTGCGTAAAAGATCATTGTGTCATGTCATAGTCATAATACAAATTGACATTCTTATTCGCACGTGTTTGACTGATTTAATAGTATCATATACAATGTTTGGACAGCTTTTACAAAACTTTTGTAAAATTTAATCAAGAACGATATATCTCTCTTCACTCTCTTATCATAGTTATCTATCGAATTCATTATAAATTTATGTGCTATTGATCAATTATAATGTTATCTATATTATGTTGGAAGACAGAGAAGGTCAAAATTTGCCATATAAATCATCATAACTATATGAATCCAGGAGAAATTGTAGTTTGGTCACCATTGAGAGTTAGGCAAAGTATTGATGAAGTTTTGTATTAGTCACATGTCCAATTAATAAGCTCAATACTATGACGCATTTTGTCAAATTAAGGTACTTGATGGCTTAAAGTTTTTCTCCAGAAGTAGCATTACCGCATATATAGGGTTCAAGGTTGCCTGACAAGGCAAGAATTTTTCGGGAAAACCTGAAAGTACGTGATCACTTATCACATTCCTAGTTATCTAACTCCAATAATTTATTATGATCGAGTCAAGTATTCAGAGCACAGTTGGAATTTTGTGCAACTGGTTTTGCAATTACAAACTTAGCTATTTAAATTAGCAATGTCTGCCTTATGTATTTTTTTTTTCCTTGAGAATGATTTGTTGATATTTATATACCTTGAATAACTTCGTAGAATCGATAATCTAGAACAGTGGGAACAATGTGCAAACTAACACTCGAACAAAATTTACATGAAAGCTGTATACATGCAACATATGATGTGTCTGCTTAATTAATGATAAGTCTGCTTGTCCCGTTAAGGCTTCTTCAAATTTCGCCAATTTCATCAGGCGATGTTGGTGGCATATAAATATGTATAAGCAGCATGGGTTAAAAACCTTTGTACTCCAAGCTATGGTTAAAGCGCGTTAGTTACGTGCTGTGCGTGTGGGGCGGGCCTAATAGCGAGGGATCAGTAGCTTTCGCATCACCTTTACCGGATAAACTGAGGCGAAGCTACTGGTTCCTCACTATTAGGTTCCACTCGCACAACACTTGACTATTGCAAAAATCTTTGTGGGACGGAGAAATACAAACTTTGGCCTCTTTTAGCATGGTTTGAGCGCACAGAGCGGAAAATTTCCCGCCCCACAGAGATTTTTACTCCGCAATAACTCGCTAAATGTTAAATACTAAACGTACATATAAACTACAACTCACAAAAATGGGACAAAATTGGTGGTTAGATTAGGTTAGCTTAATTAAAATTAATGTCGTACCGAAAACGTAAAGTTGATATCTAATACGACAATAGTGACTCAATTTTATCTTAAACTAGCAGAAAATGAATGTGCAAAATTATATTGACGTATTCATTTTGTATCTATATTACAGGGGCCGAAAGAGCTTCCCTTGATGGTAAACCTGAATATCCGGACTCTACTGCAGTCTCCGCTACGAACCAAATTTCAAATATTGCGCCACCATTATTCCCTAGTCCCGCTCTCAGCTCTCACCACGAGGACGTGGTGGACGGGCCAGAGGATGAGGAATACGAAAATTATAGTCTCACAGGGACTTCCCGAGACTCCATCTTGCGGGGGGAGGAAACCAACAATAACTTGAGCGACTCTGATAAAGGATTTGTGGCTGATCCTTGGGCCGTCACATCCTCCTTTGTACCCCCACAGTTCGACAATGATACTGACGAAGATAACCATCCACTCAACGTGGATACTCCGAATAATGCAACGAACGTATTGGAGGGATATGTAAATCATGTAAATCTTTCTTCAACATTCCATTCGCAAAGATCTCCACCTCCTGCTACCTCTAGCGGTAGGAACTACAGGAGTTTGGCTTCAAAAAAGAGACACAGGAGTAAAAAGTCCAGGACGGGTTCCTCCTCTTCGGGTGGGAGCACTATTTCAAAAAGGTCTACGCAGTCACTACAACCACGGAGGGCTACGCTAGTTCATACAAGACGAAGGAGTACGCAGTCATCCGGCGCCGAACCAAAGCGCAGAATGGATGCTGACATAAATGGCATTACTACTTTAGTTGAACCTCGAGCTCATCAAGAGGAATCTGCGCGTAGTGGTCCCACTGTTGTTGAAACTGAAACTCCATCGACATCCACAATCCCTTACTGCTATAGATGTTTCTTAAAATTTGCCAAATATAGTCACTGGAAAAAACATGCCATTTACGAACATATTCTCGCCAAGAATCCGTACCCAATTGTTGAAATGAACTACATTGACCCTGCCTCTCTGGGAATTGAAGTTGTGAATCCTAATGTTATTGAGGACCATGAGGAAGACGCCACATATGGAGCGATTACATACATTGGGGTGGAAGAGGGAAATTGTATAGATGAACTCGGAGGAAGTACCTTAATATCTGAAGACTCAACTTTAGGAGGACTCAAGTTATGCATTGGCAGGGAGAAGGGTGCTTACGTTGTTAAAAGGAAGAGTCTTGGAAGTTTAGAAAGCAATACTGATGATAATGGCCCTCCACCTCCCCTGGTTGAGGAATCCCCCTCATCCCCACAACAACAATCCCAATCCACGGGCCCCTCCGACCTATTGCATAATAATCCAATGCCCATTATAGTCATGCCCATGCTTATGCCATGCTCTACAAAATCACCGGAAACAATTCTGTCGTCACCACCAAAATCGAATGTTCCGCAGCGCGAGATGGTAAATCTCGAAGCTCAGTATCGCTCAATGGTCTCCATTGAGTCCGAGCTCGAGACTGTTTTCAGTGGTGAGATGGACGAGTTTGAACAGGCGTTGGAGTTTGCGATGGAAAGGTCACGCATAGCAGCTGGAAGCCCTACTCTGCCAAAACCGGTAATAATTTTTAATTCAGTAATTTTAAATCTTTTTGTGTGCTAATGGCTTTGAATTTGAACAATGCACAATGCAATATTGTATGACGCAACATCTAAATATCCTATTAAGTAAGTGTCGTACGTTTTTATACTCGACCGCCATCATGTATCCGTTGAAATTTGATCTCATCAGTTTTACTACTCGACTTATCTTGCCTAGCCTTGAACCATTCCTAAGTGTTGATACGACCTGATAACTTTATGATAGGGGATTGTTTGGCATATCTGCATAAGTACATACGTGCTAACACTCATTCACTCTCCAATTAATCGCGTCATCCAACAGGTTGTTCTAAAAAGTAACATGTTCAATTTTCCTGTGAATTGATACAAATTAAATGAGTTTATGCAACATTGAAAGTATTCCATTCCCCTACAATTCATAATTTCACTTAGACTTCTTAAGTTTGGTTCGTAAATGCGTACAGTTGAGAGTAGTGCACTATGAGTGAGTTCTAAATGCATATGATAATGAGAAATGAGAACATATTTACAGGATGAGTTGAGTCTGAGTCGTCTTGAGCCAAACAATTTATGCAAGCAATTTGAAAAGAGACTAATGTATTTCGATGGATAACAAATATTACATACATTTATTTGATTTATTTTCGCCAATTTGTACTCGCTTGTTTATACTTTTCTAAATTTCCAAGAATCAGTAATGTTTATGGAACATTTGTTTAGAAAACAATTTGTAATAAAAGCATGGTGTTTTTTCTAAGACCATCATTCTCCTTCCTCATAATAACAGCACAATGATTTAGTAACAGTGGGTTAAATTATTTAATTGAGTTGATTCGTTAATTTACTTTGTATCAGTAAAAGCTAATTCATTGTCGCAAAACAGATTGGTATCCCACTCAAAAACAATGACACAACTATTTGCACTTGCCAAATTTGTGGAAGTTATTTCAACTCATTGTTTCATTTAACAATAGAATAATCGGTTTAATTGTCGCATAAAGGGAGCAGTAAAAATTGAAGGTTGGCGCTCGCTGTTCTCGGTTACATAATGTTTTTTTTTAACTTTCGGAGTGTGCGAGCACCTTAAAGTTTACTGGTTATAGTTATTTTGAAAAATTATTTTGGCAATTAAACCAGTATTGGATGGATAACAAAATAATCTGAAAAATGTGACAATGAGTTTGTGCTGGAGAAAATATGTCAGGCCTAATGGCGACTCTTTCTACATGTTTGAGGTTAGTTTCTCTCCATATTTGTAGTTAAATTCCAAGTTTACAGGGTGCACACAAGGAGGGTGACGTAATGGCTATAGCATAGTGTAAATGTAAATGTGATAGCAACTGGATAATTCCCTTTCTGCAGATGTAGGTTTGGTTAACAGCAGTTGCAGACTTGCAGACCTGAATCCAGTTTAGTCCACTTGCCACCATGAAATACTGCTTGTGCTCGCTGTTGGTTTGGATTGGCTGAATATATAGAATATATTTGTATATACTTATTGTATATCCATGTATTGTGATAAAATTAGATCATTCACTTGTGCAAAAGCATGTTGTGTCGATTCATTTCGTGGAATTTTATCGTGCTTAATTCCACCTGGCAGCATGAAAATTACAGTAACGAATTGCATATCAATCAGTTAAACAAGCACCTCAGTTTGTTCCTCACTTGTGCAGTGCAGTGTTCTGCACTTTAAAACTACTGACTAATAAGACAATTGGATCTGTTTTCCGTTTGGGATTAAGTCGCAAATTTGAATGGAATATCTGTAAGCATTGCTGTTGTTGTGAAAATCCTTAACGGTGGCAAGTGGAAAATTTTCGCCGGGTCTTGTTAATATGCGAATTATAATTTTATTTGTTTTGGAGTAATGTTAACCTGGTGTTTGGTGGGTAAATCGCGCAGAGAATGTGAACATGAACATGTCTACAAAAATACTCACTGAATATGAATATTTCTAAGTTCAAATACCTTTCATCATCATCAAACATATCTCAACTTAGTAAATTTCATAGGATTTTTATGTCAATACAAAGAATGTGCACGAGCTGTAATTACTCAATCAAGTGATCTTACCCATTATTTTCGTTCCTCAAGCGCAAAGGGGCCACGTAGATCATTATTATAATATTCCGTAAATAATAAGAATAAGTTCCCTGATAACAGCAATAAACAATGAGTGACAAGGTTTGACAAAATATTATTTTGGGAGAAAGCACATTCAATTGGATTGGACAATTAATTACTTGTACACGTCCACGTCACTTTCACTCTGCACTTGCTAGAATCTGCACACCCTGTCTATCAGCTAAAATTGTGTGGAAAACTTGACATTGGACTTGGAATCGAATGATTCTGGATAAGTTTCCAGTGCGAACAACTTGCGGAGGAAGATAGGAGTGCATGTAGACGGTAGTGATAGGATGATGAAGTTTTATTCTGAATATCTTCACAAGAAAACGAATTGGGCCCGTATTGGTCTTCTTGGTGGACACAAAAATCGACGGCAGCGTGATAATAATGTGGGCTGCTGGGTGGATCATCGAATGATGAAAGTGCGTTCCCAGCCCGTGTCAACGCTTGCCATTCTAGACAATAGGCCCACCCCGGCAACAACAACTTTATCCACGACGACGACGACCACACCACGAAATTCCATCCCACCGTCTCCTGAATGTATCCCCCACAGTGATGTTCCATCATGCACGGCTATTGACACGAGTGTAAGTCAAGTCCAAGGAAAAACAATGGTTATTTGAAAATCGATTGGTCGAGCAGCCAATCATGCAGTCTTTCAGTTAGGAGTTAGTCCCGTTTTTAACCCGAACTTGATAACTCCCAGGTTTGATCTTACATCTCGTTAAAAAAATCGTACAAAAAACTGGATTTAAACATGTTTAGATCTGGTTTTAATATTATTTGCATTCATTTGGTAAAAAACCGGTAATACTCTTAAACTTTATGGGGCGTAATATTGGCTTCATATGTACATATGCAGAGTTTGGAGATGGTTTGGAGTGAGAAGAGACTAGTGAAATCATTGTGTTCAAATGTCGTATTTAAAACTTGTCCGTAGACTTAAACGAGGAATCCATCGTAAATATTTGCATTAGCCCGCCCAAGATAGGGTTTATGGAACCCTCCACCCTTTATGTCTGTCGGCCAGTCTGCATTGCCCAGCCTTTGTAAAACTTTTCCAATGGACTTTAAATTTTGTAAATATGGAGAGTGTGGCAAATTACGAATCGATTTGGAAGATCGCTGGTCTACTCGTCGACCATTCGGGGGGGGAGGGGCAGGAGCAGGACTGTAGGATTACCATTCATGTTCTCGGTCTCAGTATCTGAAGGGAAAACTTCAAAATCTACCGTTTAAATAGGAGTTTTCGGGGGAATGGACCGACGAGACTGAGGGAACGTTCGCATAAAGTAGCCTCGACAACTTGATAATACAGTCGTATTACATTAGTAGGAAATAGCATTAAAACACCAATTCCTTTCATAGCGCTATAGGTGCACAAAAGATTAAATCAAGAGTCTTTTGATTCAAGGCCGTCTTGTACGAAATGCGAAGGCTTGTGCAGTGGATGGGAACTGAAACCTGTTGTTGTTGCGCAAAACATTCTATAGTCTCAGAATTGTTATGCAGTTTTCAGAACACATACACAAATAATATAGTTATATATATATTTCCGACACTCTACTTGTGTATAAAAACACAATTATCGGAATACTTATCTTTCAAGAGAAAATAAGAACAAGACTTTGATATAAAAATTGGGTTTCCTGAATCGTGTCGAATTTAGCACAGACATACTTATTAATTTCCTCCAGCTATCCTCTTTATACTTTGTGTAAAATTTGTATATCACAGGTTTTTAAACCGATGAAGACTATATTAATAATTGATGATCTCCATTATTTTATTGATCAGCATATTTGCATTTATATTGGACAATATATTTTAATGCAAACAACTGTGATTTATACATGAGAAAGAGGGGTGAAATATATTGATCAATAAAGAATACATCTTCTATATCATACCAAAAATTTATCACCCCACAAACTGGTTTTCCATGCCTTTGTCCTTAGCCCGTAAAATATTTAAAACATTTGTAATTTGTGGGAACGCTGGTTAAGAAACTTTGGCAATGATTATCTAGCTTCACTTGTTACTAAAAGAGTTTTCATACTGTATACTTTATGCAATTTGTCTCCATTGCAGGCAAATAATGTCATCAACACTAGTTAATCAGACTGCCCTGGTGTTTGACGCATGTGACGGTTAAGTTGGCTTTTGTTTTAGTTAGCCTATATACTTTGATACATTTTCTGAACGTGAATTTTGTCATCATGATTCTTGTTTGACGAGTTTGAGTTATGTATTATTTATGTAACCAATAACTTAAAAACGTTGACAAGTACCAGTCTCTGGCTTATTATTGAAATATTCATAATAGGGAAATGTTGGAAACTCGTTTTCTTATAATAAAACCTGCTTGAAATAACAGTACAAAATGGATTATATAATATATATATATATATGCACATGTATAATCAAATATATAAACATGCTTGTATATATAATTCCATCGTGGGTGCCCAGAAGTTGTAGGTATAAATAATAAGAATAATAACAAGACCAGTTGTACAATAAACTAGTGGGGGAGAACAGCATTATGTAAATTAACGACACATGTAGAGATGTATAATATATGTCGATGTTGAGTTCTTGTCTAGCCAAAAATCGCATGCGCGTCCCAGAAATATTGACCTGAATGTAATAAATATCGGTTTGATGGCTAAGTTTAAGTTTACCAAAACTCTCCGTCAGTCAGTCTCCTTTATTGCATTGAATAAAACCACTCGATTTTAATTTACAACCTGTGGTTTCCATTCGTGGTTTAGTTTGGTCACAGGTTGGCAATACGTATGTATGTGGTTTCTCTGGTTCGGTTTGTTTGGTATGTAATATGTATACACTATCTTACTATTGATATCGACCGGTGAGAAATGTGGCTTTACGCTGAACATTTCTGAATTTGTAGATTTGTAGTATGAAAAACTTAACATAAATATGAAACCAATATTCTTTGTGTCGCCTCGCTGAGAGTAATAATTTCTGTCTTTATCTTACAGTTACCTACTGCAGGAAGTGGTGGCGTTGCCATTCCCGGTGGAGGCGTTCGACTTTTACCTCCTTCAGATTTGAATTATAAGATGATCTCTGAAGATGTTCCAGTCATCAGCCCATCCATTGCCGTTGAGTCGTCGGACGATATTGATGTGTCAGAGGCTAATTTAATCAAGTTATTGACAACTGGCACAACTCCTGTTAACGTTGAAGGATCAAGAATACCTACAGCTTCATCTCAATTGCATGAACCAAGCCTTGTGATTGCAAAGAAGCCTTGTGATGAACCCGGTGATGTAGATCCTAAAGCGAGCAATAAGGGTTGTAATGGCAGCAGCACCAGTAAGGATTTGGAAAATCCTGATGAAGAAAATGTGGAAAAAAGCACAAATTCCACCACCAAAGATGTTCAAACCATTGAAGGACAGGATGAATCAGAAGAAAGAAAAGGTAGTAGTTTGAACGGGAAAGAGTCAACTGCAGATTCACAAAACTTAGAGCTTGCCAAAGAAAAGGACGCGGATCTCTCCAAAAGGGAAGAAGTGAAGGCATTAGTTGAACCGACGCGAATATTGCCAGATGGAAGTGATAATGAAGCGGATGACTTTGAGTGTCAAGTATGTCACAAAGTGTTCATGTCTGATGACGAACTCAGAGATCATTTTAGTGAAGATCATTTCCGTCTTGCGGAAGGCGTTGGCATCCTTGAGCCGGAGAGTCCGTACCCTCCACCACAAACTCCCCAGCACCAGTCAAATTTATCTGCCCGTGATGCATCCGAAACTGAAAGGGGGTCTTCCCAGTCTGAAGTTTTGCATAAGTCTGTTACATCACCATCTTCATCGTCACATTCACAGCAAACTCAAGCTCATTCGTTAATAAATGTAAACGGACCCGGAAGGAGCCAGCCCCCTTCTAGCTCGAATATGACTGGACGACCATCTACGGATAACACTGGTGGTGTGGGTCGTTCACCTTTCGGGGCATCAACACAAGGAGATTTACAAAACATTCTGTGGAGGAATCAAGCCAATGCAGCTGCTGCTCATGCCCAGCAGCAACAACGGGGTCAGGGGAGTGTTGTCGCTTCTGGGTTTCCTGGTGTTCCGAGACCTATGGGACAAAGTCAAGGACCGGGCGGCCAACAAAATATGGGAGGTTAGTCGTCAGTAAATAGTTTATCGTCACATTGGTTGAAAATGAACGACTAAATTTACTGATATTTTTATGCAGTAGTCATCTAACTAAATAGTAAATTAGCTGAATTTCATAACTAATTACTGGATTGTTATTTCGTTGTCAGGAATTTCCTCTCGAGCTCCTGGTCCACCTAATCAGTCCATTATTGCCTGCCAGCCTGTGCATCACTACACCAGTAACCAACCTCGAGCTTCATTTGGTATGGGAGGTCAACAAGGGCCGCTCCATCCTCAACGACTGTCGATGCAATCGGGCGCACCTCACCACCGCATCTCTCCCCCTCATTATCCAATGTCCTTACACAATGCATTGACAGGCGTGTCCGGACCACCAAAGTACACACAGGCTACAATACCACATCGGACTGGTACAATTCAACAAAGGCCATCCCCCCCACCACCATCCGGTCATATTCGACAAATTCAGTACCAGCAACAGCAGCAGCAGCACCAACAGCAACAAAACGCAATTCATAGTAGTAATATCCCAAATTCTGCTCGAGTTCCAACTATGCCACTGTCATCAACCATTGGGATGAATCAACAGGTTATTAATCAAATGAATGCTGAACGTGAGCTGAACAATCCGTTTCAACAGCGACTTCAAACCCATCAAATAAACCCCATACATCAATCAATGCCAAGATTACATCAAATCCCCCAGCAAAGAATTTTCCAACAGCATCACAATCAGCAACAACAACAACAGCAATATCAACAGCAACAGTATCAACAGAATATTAACAACCGAGTGGGACAACTTGCCCAAAAAAGACCGGCAGCACAAGGATTGGGATCATCTATTGAAATTAGTGAAGTTCGTCCCAATAAGGAGCCTCGTGTCGTCGTAGATAATCAACTCCTTATCCAACGCCAAGTTCGACCAGCAGAAATTAGACCTACTCAAGTAAATCACAACGTGGCTGCGGCGATTGGCTCCGTTGGCAGTGCTGGTGTCAATAGTGTCCGTCTCGGTAATTCTATAACCTTGAGCGTGTGTCCAACAAACTCGACGCACAATTCTCCTGCTACGTCCCCTGCCTTGCAAGATTTAGGCTTAAAACAGTCATCACGAAGTTCATCCCCTGCTCAAGCCCACCACTCAGTGTTGGCTGTCCGAGGAGTCACAGTGACGCCAGCTTCTCCCCCTATCACTGGTATTTCTCCAGTGTCAAGTCCAAGTCCGTCACATAGTCCGGTAGCTTCATCATTGACCCAACACCAAATTCAACAACAGCAGAAAGCTCAGGCATCTGTCATTCAACGTGGACCGACTTCAATGTCTCCCCCGCGAGAAAATCCTCCAAGAGACGACAACTTTTCTCCTCCAGTCATCTCCACTGTGAGAGGAAATGTTCAACCAGCCACAACTCAATCCATTCCACTGCAGCAGGCAGCAGCTTCTCACAATTTTGCAATTCCTCGACCTCCACCCCCAATCCATCGAATGCAATATTCTTCCTCCTCTTATGGGATGGGGGTGACCGTGAACTCGACTGCACAAAGGCCTGACCGCCCTCCCACTGTTGACTTGACGGATGACGATGTTCAGACCCATGCTCAGCAGAGAATTAGTGGAGTTCCCCAAAATCATCAGATGATGAATCCACCACCCATTCGTCGATTCGTAGCAGCACAAGCTGCCACTTTCCCCCAACAAAGGTCATCAACAACAATGGATCGATTGCCAAGCTGTAATATTTGCGGATTAATGTTCCCATCTATTGTACGTACATTCATGATTTTTTTTCTTTTTATAATGAAATAATAATACTGGCAAAGTTAAAGTCAGAAGATGGACTTATAATTGTGTTTATTTCACTTTACAGTTATCGCTGGATACCCACAAAATGTCTAATCACGCGATTCCACGATCTAACCAGCATCCTCCTCCTCCTGCCAATGTAACGTCCCCAACAAATGGAGGAACTCGTCCGCAACAACCATCGCCGGTGAGAAGCGCGTTGACCATGAGCAGACCAATGATAATGCCAGGTCATGGTGCTCAGCCATCTATTGTCCGTGCGCCACAAGTCCCTGGCTCTGTCTCCATCCTGAGAAGTCATCAGCCTACATCATCGCAAATTCGGTCTCAGAGTCCAAATCGTCCATCCATCTCCAACAGCCCGGTCAACAACAATGGAAAATACTTGTACATTCCACTTTTAGACATGGGACGCATGGATGCCAACAAAATGAGAAAGCTTGAAGAAATCGGAATTACTTGTGTAGTTCCACTCCAGGGAAACAATACAATGACACAGATGGGGTAAGGATACTTATTCTGAGATATTTTTTATATGAATTGTTCAGTTGATGAATTCAGGATTAAAATGATTCTTCCCATTTCCAGAATCCCTATTATGTCCCTGAGGGGCGACATGGCTATTAGTCAACATGTTCCGTGGGATTCGGTATTGCCCATGGGACCCATATCTCAGGCCACCTTGAATGAACCAGGAAATGGAAATAATCGTATTAATAGTTTTAGCAATAATAATAATAATAATAATACGAGTAGTAATAACAATGGAGGTGCGAGTTTCTAAAATTATTCGTTGCCTCGTTCGTGGGTTTAAGTCAACGGGCCGACTTGGATGGAATGTGTTTGCTTTACGATAAAGTTAATCAGGAATTGATGAAGCAGGAATTAAAATAATCAGCAAGATGAAGATGCTGACGAATATATCACTGGAACATTCATTCCTTGCAAGTGAATTTTCTGTCCAGCGTTTTCATCTCAACAAGAATGTGTCAACTTGTGTGTAAACATTTCGTTCGCTCGTCCAACAAATAGGACAGGTCCAGAATTGAAATAGTTTTTAAAAGGGGACCGACTATAAATTTACTTTTCATGTGTTCATCACATATTCTCTCTTGATTCAGGGTCTCACTTGACAAAGACAATTTATTATTATTAAGAAATGTCCAATAAAGTTAGAAAGTGCGGCCGGAATTTTTTGTCGCTCGAAACGAGGTCTCCCAAAATGGATTGTGAGAGCTGTGCAAGTTTGAATACTCACTCACACATGATGCCGACGTTGGTCAAAAAATGAATGAGCTAACCGATTGCTTGAACAAAGGAAAGAATATGGACAAGAAATGTATTCTGCATTTATTTACTTAACATGGCTATTGATTTTTATAGATATGTAATATAGAGAATGTTAGATGAAATAATTTATGAAGAGGGAAATGTGTCACAAATGATTGTTTTCATAATCATTGTTTTAATCATAATGGAACGGTTTGAATTTTCCTCGTTGACATTTATGTTGTAAAATTAAATTGTATAAAAGCAGTTGTATGAAACCAATCATTGTGATAAGCTATACAACACAATCTACTATATTATCTGCACGAATGCAATATTTATGATCGAAATATTTTATGTTTGTAGTATGGCGCGGTTGAAGTTTTAATTACTCTAATTGGTGTTGTACTATTATTGACATGTTTTACTTTATTAATTAAAATAGAAATTAAAGTAAATAAAAGGGCAACTTTTTTTACGAGATACCAAACATAAAATTTATAACGAATATGTGCAAAAATTATTTGAACTTTTTACGTAACGTAAGAAGTACCTGGCCTGTACCTAGGTATCATGTTTCCTCCGTCATTTAAAATTTGGGTCCCCAACGTGGGGGAGAGAGTTATTATTAAATAGGAACGAGAGAGAGTGACCAACTATTAAACTAATAAAACTGTTTCTAAAATACCCAAAAATGGCAAATTCTTGGCAATTAAATTCATTATCCAGTATGATGTTAAAACCGTATAGTATATATCTTTTAGATACATATCTATGTGCATTTACGAGACGAGATACTATACAGCATATTTTGTATACCTTATTCCATGATTTAAACAAATAAGGAACAATAATAATTTGATAAAGTATTCAAACATTCCTTGAGCAACAATAAATTTATCATCCCATCACAACTTGTCGTAATCCCAAAATTCGCATGTAACTGCGTGCAGTAATATGAAGAATCTAGGGACAATTCGGGTTTATAAGTGGGTTTGACAAGTTAAATTGTTGGTTACATTTTTTGCCCCTTAATATAAATGGTGGATTTGGGGAATCATTCAATTTGCCAAGTTTACGACTTTATTGTAGCGATATTCTTTTAGAAAATTGAGACAGCCGATTGGTTAATCAAGTTAGTTTTTTTTACGTCTATCGAGGTGTTAAATTTTTGATACGGTTCCCAAAAGTTACAAATTCTAGACCTTGCTAGTAAGTAAATAACTTTGGCAATTAATACCCACTTGGGCAACCCTCCTCTCCCAAAGCATGCATGCTAGTACCTACTTAAGTATAAATGCAAGATGTGTAATAAGATGTTTCTTCCTACAACTTAGGAAGCCCTCACATACACGGACCAAAACCTGGTTCCTGCTTCACTTGAAACGAAAAAGGATGTAATAAACAAGGTAGCGAGAGTTCCCGAATATACCCCGAAAAGGCATGGATGGTTGGGTCACAAAAAAGTAAAACACTCTTTTTATATCCGCCGTGTGCATCAGCCGACAAGACAACCCTTCTATTTCCATGCATGCCATATTGTTATCATGCCTTGCCCTGTGAATCTCACTGCTTATTGCATACCCTTATTTCATAGTTGGACGATATATCAGAGTCGAGCAACAAAATTCATTCATCAGATTTGCAACTGATGCCATGAAGTGACGAAGTATTTAGTTGTCGTCTCTTACAGACTAGTCTCAAGAGGTAGGAGGAAGGAGACAATTGTGTTTGGATCTAGGTTACAAGTTGCATTGGTACAAAGTGGATATAGGACTGCCTACATTGTACAAACTACCCGTGGCCAAATACCCGGACCGGGTCCATTGAACTCAATCCAAAAACATCCCGATCCTACAGTCTCACCAACATCTTCAGCAAACGCAAACACAAGAGACTTGCTTCGTTGGAGAGGAGGTGTGCTCTCTCCGAAATTCCTGGACCGAGCACCACTCGAGTTAATTGTGACTGGAGTGTTTAATAACAATTTCCACTTAATCGGCGTTGTTGTACTATTGCAAATAGTAAGGCCATTTTAGTTATGAGCAATCTAAAATTTAAACAATGACAATAAAAATCCCTAGGAAGTTTTTAGAACAGAAGAAAAACTTGTAAGTATATTGTGAGCCATGTCTAATCCACGGCTAATAATGACGCATCTACCAGGGACCAGTGCGGCTGGTAAACATGCTTTTTGAAGAAAGTGGTATTAGGAGAATTACAGTGGTGTGGTACTCAAGAGGGGGAAGGAATTGTGTGTAGTGAACGCGACAAGTCATCGCAAATCCTGTGCATGAGTCATTCATTCGCATTATTGATTGCACATTCATATTGCGAATCCCTTATTTTGCTGGGGTGGTTGGTTGGTTGGTTAGAGAGACAATGACGAGTCAGATAAAGCAATGATGCGAATTCTTCCTGAAAGCATCACCACAAATCTTGCTCACACTTGCATAGTTGACGCGTTCCTTTCTTAGTTAAAACTGCTCAACAAAGTTGTCCCCAAATCTTTTAATATTCGGAAATGAAAAAGAAATTGTCAATATTCGTAGATGTTGTTCTGAAGAATTAATAATCAAAGTCTACGACCAGGCTTAATTTTCTTCAAATATGGAAGATCCCGACCTTCAGGATAGCAACGATCTTACCACGATCTCTGACATCAATATTGAAAAGGTGAATAGTGTGTTAGTCAAACGGTACAACAGGGATGTGGTTTACGTAAGTCACACTTTTTTATATCCAAGTATTTAGTATGCAAATTATATGTACGAGTATCATTTCTGAATTTCTGCTATGTTTGCAGACATATTCCGGAAGCATCTTAATTTCGGTCAACCCTTATAAAGAGTTGCTCCATATATACGATGAGGTAGGCTTCCTACTTTAAATATTCAAAATGCATTACAATATTTGTTACTACACACTTAATAATCCTTCATTATCGTTACAGTTTTATATGAACAAGTACCACAATGCAAGTTCAGGGGCTTTCAGTCTACCCCCGCACATTTACAATATCGCAGAGTCAGCGTACGTGTCCTTGAAGCGGACTGGGATCGACGCGTCGAGTGGTGACTTTAAGTGCAACCAGTCTATTGTGATAAGTGGGGAAAGTGGTGCAGGCAAAACCGAAAGTACTAAATTTATTTTGAACTACCTCTGTCACATTACATCGCAGAGTTCTTATCAAACTGTATCCACGTGGGTTGAACATCAGATCCTTGAAGCTAACACGATCCTTGAAGCTTTTGGAAACGCCAAGACTCAGCGTAATGATAATAGCAGTCGGTTCGGAAAATTTATGCAAGGTAATTCGTTAATTTGATTTGTATCAGCAATTTTTATTTTTATTATATTGAATGCATTGACGATGCGTCAATGCATCGTCTTCCGCATACATACGAATTTTAACTCACCTTTGGTTATACATAAATTAATCGATTTTCTTCCCTTATTTCATGCTCCAAATTAAACACGGAACTTTAGTCTGTTTTGACTCTAAATGGATGATTCGAGGATGTATTATTCAAGATTATTTGTTGGAACAAAGTAGAATTACTTTTCAGACCAAGGATGAACGGAACTATCATGTTTTTTATCAACTCACCAAGGCTGCTGAGGTAAGAACGTATGTATGGATTTATGGTCACGTTTTAATATTTTAAGATTAATGGCTCAACAGTATTTTGTATGCATTTTTAACAGCTAAGCCAAGATTTGAGTAAACAGTACCATGTTAAATCAGCCCAAACGTACAAATATCTCAACCAATCTGGATGTATCAATCTCAATGGAGTTGATGACTCCAAGAGATTCGACCAACTTCGACTGGCTTTCAACGTTCTACAAATCCCAGCCAATTTTACTGATGGAATTTTTAAAACGATCTCTGCTATCCTTTGGCTGGGAAATTTAGAGTTTGCGGTAATTTTCATTTTTGTTTCCGCTTGTTTAGACTTTCTGTAATAATGTGACGGAACATGTCGATATAAATTCTTAGGAAGTCGTTGACGATGTTGAGGAGCGGTGCACCTTGTCCAAGATTGATATGGACGTCACGACAGGAACAATTTCATCTCTACTTGGTTGGTTAAAAAATATTTTGCTTGCTGCTAATCCTGATAAGCAATTGTAGTAAATTTTCCACATATATTCATTTTCCTTTCTATCCTTAGGTCTTCAACAAGCTGATCTTCAACACATTTTACTAACGAGGCAAATCAATGTGAGAGGCAACATCACGGAAATTCCTTTAAAAAAACAAGAGGCCAATGAAAATAGGCATGCCATGTCCAAAGCCTTATACTCGAGGTAATTACTCAAAATCATACGTAAATGCTACTTTTATAAGCTCGTAATTATGGAAAACGTGGGTCACTTTAACTTTCAATAAAATAACAACTTCAATAATCATTAAGAAATCTAATAAAATTTGTTCTACTGTGCATTTACATAGTAGAACAGATTTTATTCAATCAAATTTTTCTAATAATTTTTAGACTACATCCTTAATTGAAATTAATATTTTTTTTCTCCTATTGTTTGTTAAAACACTTTAGAACATTTGCTTGGCTCATCAGTCACATTAACACGTGCACAAATCCTGGACAAGATGCCAGTAAATTTCTAGGTCTCTTGGATATTTTCGGATTTGAAAATTTTGCCTGCAACAGCTTTGAACAGGTATGTTGTTTTGAAAATGTCATCTTTTGAATTGTTTTTAAGGTCACAACTTATTGAATATTCCAGTTCTGCATAAATTTCGCTAATGAGAAGATGCATAAATTTTTCAACCAATATGTTTTTTCGATTGAACAAGAAATTGTAAGTTTAATATAATTTATGACATTTTTCCGACGCTGTAGTTGAATAACATTGAACAATTTATTCTAGTACCGGGCTGAGGGCATCAAATACAGTCATATCGAGTTTACAGATAATACACTTTGTCTGGAACTGATAGAGAAGCCTCCCCGATGTCTTTTAAAGTTGTTAACCGAACAGTGTCATTTACCAAAGGTACATACCAGTACATATGTATGAAAAACTGCATTTTTGTCCAAACACGTGCAAAACTTGTCAATACATAAATATCAAATTATTTAAAACTTAACATTTTACTCAGGGCTCTGATCTGGCGTATTTGAACAACATTACCACCGAGTTTCACAACTCCAACGCATGCTTCATCAAACCTGAAGATCGTCGTAATTGGGAAAAGGAATTCACAATTGAGCACTATGCTGGACCTGTCACATACAAAATCGAAGGGTTTGTGGACAAAAATAAAGATGTGCAACAAGACCTCTTTTTCCATTTCATTAGCGATTCTGAAAACGAATTTGTTCGAGAGTTGGTGAACTATCAAGATCTTCTGACCACCACTTTGGCCAGGTACGTATAGCAAACTATGCAAATGTCGGATTAATTCTTGCGTTTATTCCTTGGTGAGCGAACATATTCTTATATTAATAAATTTATATCCACAAAATATTTCAGAGTGTCGAATGCAGGGGAAAAAGCCGGAGTGAACACCATGGGAAGAAATGCAAACACTAATAAATGCAAACCCACAGTAAGTGAGGCGTTTAGAATTCAACTTGGGACATTAGTTGAAGTATTGCAGAGTACTACCCCCTGGTATGCAAATCATACATTGTTTTAAGTTTCACTTCAATTTCTTCAATGAATTAAAAAAGCATTGATTCATCATAGGTATATTCGATGTATAAAACCAAATATGGACAAAGAGCCAAACAATTATGCCACCAACTTGGTCATGGATCAGCTAAAGTACTTGGGCATGTTGGAAATTATACGAATTCGACGTGAGGGCTACCCCGTGCATTTTTCTTTTGAGGATTTTGTAAAACGCTATAAAATTTTGGGAAAGTACAGAACGTATCCACCAAAGAAGGAGATTACCAAGTAAGTTGGTCATTAAATTGGAAATAATTTTAAGCTGGTTAAGTAAATGAAGAGTCATGTAATTTGAATTCATGAATTGTGAATTTCAGAGACATTCTACAAAGCTTTAAATTTCCAGTCACTGAGTGGCAAGTGGGACACAATAAAGTTTTTCTCAGAGGAAAGATATACGAACCTTTGGAAGAGAAAAGGCTAGCTGTTTTTAATATCAAAGCCACTAAAATTCAAGCAATTTGGAAAGGATTCCGGGTTCGAAAAAGTAAGAAAAAACTCATTTCGCAAGTTCGACAAGTTCATTTAGGGAAAAATATTCGACAAGCAAATAAAAATATAAATAAAAAATGTACTTATTCTTTAGATTACACTGGGAGACTTCGTGCCACGCTAATAATTCAGGCGTTTTACCGAACCTGGAAACTTCGACTTAAATTTCTTCGGAAACGTCGTGCCGCAATTGTTATCCAATCTCATCTACGAGGAATGTTTGCTCGAGAGGTGGCGGTCGCCCTGAGAGAAATGCGAAAGGTTGAAGAAGCCATGCGGAAACAAGAGGAGTACAACAATAAGCGCAAATCCATAATCCAGCAACAATCAGAAAACGGGTCTTCGATTGAAGACGGGTCGCTCGACAGCAGTCAAGAAGCGAAAGAAGAGTTGGATAAACTCGCCAGAGAGTTATCAGAAATGCAGTCAGCAGGCGGACTTGGTGGGAAGACAAGCGGTTTTGAGAATTTGTTCTCTTTCCTCACAGAAGCCAAAGATAATGACGCAGCCGCAGCTGCAGAAATTCACCGAATCATCAGCTCTACAGTGAACCATAAAAATGAAACACCATCAGAAAACGATTTAGAGACGCTTGGTTCTCAAATGGATTTGCTTGTTGCCAATTTAGAGGATGAGTTGGAAAGTCAAGCCACGACAACAACAAATAATAGAGGGTCACACAATTTGAGTTCTTTGGAATCGGAATATGAGGATGACATGACGGAAGAAAATGACCACATTCGCCGTGATAATGGAAATTCAAGTGACATTCCCCCAAGCCCACCTGCGCTCCCACCTCCAGGAGAAAACATGATTTGCCCACCACCACCTCCCAGCACTATCATTCTAAACAAATTCGGCAAATACCAACCAACTCTCCCGGAGCCGAAGGTGCCTCCTCCACCAATTCCACCTGGGGCCATTACAGGAGCTAATAACAAGACCGGAGGCCAAGTCAATCTCATGAAACCGACCCTGACTGCAGCGATGGCCAAGCAACAAGCAGTCGCACGGACTCGTCAAAATAATCAAGTCAATACGTCCCAAGAAACGCATCCCGGAAAAATAGTCGACGTGAAAGCACAGGTGCAGAGAAAAACGACGACGGTACGCAATGGAAATGAAGAGCCAATCTACGAATCTATTCAACCAAGACATGATATCAGCAATGGCGTTCAGTCCACGCCTACTCCTCCCACCTCCGCAGATGCTCAACTACTCAACAAACATAGGGATCGAGATTCTATTGAATCCACACAGTCCACCAAATCGTGGAAATTTATGGGTTCTACTGGTCAAACACAAGGTCATGCGGTAGTAAATTTGACACCCAAACCATTGGGAACCGCAGCAGATAGCGGAATGTCTGGCCCACCTCAACCTCCAGCCGCACCACCACCTCCTCCTCTTCAACAAAATATGAACAACAACAACATTCCGAATGGTCCCAACGTGACCACAAAAATTTTGCAGAAACCACCTCTGCCTCAGGTTCCAAAATTTCAATCACGTACCACCCCTCCAATAACGATGAATGGAAATATTCATCCGCAGAGAAACATTGTAACTCGAAAGCTGCAAGAATTAACTACAACCCAAGCACATTCTGGTGGTGCTGTCCCATCACCAATTGCTGCCAATGTCAACCAAAATCAGAGCAATTGCAATGTACCCGACAACAAGAACGATCACCTTGTGGACGAGTTTCCCATGTTGGAGTTTGCTCTGCAGTATTTCAACGACTGGGAGAACAAGGGGGATTTTTTGTTATCCAAGCGGTCCACTACGTCCACCAAAGAAAACATTGTTCCCAAAGCTGAAATGATTTGCTACACAAAAAGTAGCACCATTCCAAATTCGCATTTACATCTGTATGATCCATCAAACATCAGCATAAGCATCACCATGTTCCGAGATTTGCAAAAGTATGCCCGAGCAGAATTCAAACCTGAAACAGAGCTCCAGTTTATTCAAAATTTAATATCCTATGGCTTAGAAAGGGATGAAATTCGAGATGAAGTGTATGTTCAAATCACTAGACTCATCAATCAAAATGAGAGCAATGAACAAATTGAAAAATTGTATCTCCTCTTATGTCTTGGTAAGTACAAATTTGGATTTAATAATCAGAAACGATTATTGACTTGATTATGACCTTTTCCAGTAATCGTGTCATTCCAACCCAGCAAGGTTTTCTCAAAATACTTGCTCTCATTTCTTAACAAGAACTATCAAGAGAGCAGGATTTCAGATCAAGTTGAGTGGGTCAGAGAAAATCTGAAGAGAAATTCAAACGTGCTGAATTTCTGCAGAAGATTCCCACCCAGCTCGGTGGAGGTGCAAGCTATGAGCCGATTGGGGACTATTGTGTGCCGCTTTTTCTTCCTGGATGGTCGAACTAAAGCGATTGATATAAGCCCGATGGACACTGCTTGGGACGGTATAAGCAATTAATGAGGGATTATTATGCATTTAATAAATTAGTAGCACTTATTTAGTAGTCAAATTGATTTATATTCCTTACTGATTACTAGTCTTCTAAGACACCGTAGAAATACATGCGTGTATGTGTTTTTTCAGCCATGGTCAAGCTATCGGAAAAAATTGGGCTCACCACCGTGGACAACACTTGGGCAATTTTTGAATGTGGAAAAACTCACGAAGAACATATTCCGAAGGTATATTCGCAAATAATAATTTTTTTGCACATGATAAGGCATATGTGAAAGATTCATGCTGCATCAATTAATCTGCTTTCTTTTAGCATCATTATATTTATGACATTATCGCCAAGTGGGAGCAGGCGACCTTGCAACCACAAATTCAGAAAGAAGGGTGAGACATTTACCAAATCGGATTAAAATAGAAGGAAAAACTGATTTAGTTAAATGGTAATTGTTCTAATTAAACGGAATTGCAGAATGTTGTCTAACACGGTGGGAACGTTAAAAAAACAAAGGAGCACCACCTCCAACGCAAACTCTCTTGGATCATGTGGAGACAATCGGTTCATATTCAAGAAACGATTGTTCAAACAAAGTTGCCGAGAAATTCCTCAGGTACATTTCACATTTCTGATTGTGTCTCCAAGTATGTAGTGTCAGATACGCAATGATATTTATATTATATTCATGTAGCTCTATTAACTTATGTATATTTATGTAGCTTTCTCCTGAGGTGAACCTTCTATATGCTCAAGCTGTCCATTCTGTCGTAAAACTCGACGCTTTTCCAATTTCGGAGAAAGTAGCTCTCCAACTTTCCGGACTTCAGTTGCAAGTTCTTCTTGGAACGCCGACAACCAATAACACTGAAAATTATACGGCAGTAGAAAATTATCTTCCATCTCGAATACTTCGGATGCGACCTCATGCTCAATGGGTGCAAATTTTGGCTCAAGCACACAAGCAATATGGATCAGGAAAGAGTGAATTGGTGTCAAAAATTTATTTCTTGTCTTGTGTGATGCAATATCCTTTGTATGGAACAAGTTTATTCGACGTTGTGTATCGTGGTTATTGGCTTTACGGTACGTACCGCTCAATATTCATATAGCAAAATTTAAAATAATCCAACCAATAAAAATGTCACCTAATTTGAGGTTTGGAAGTGGCTTGCCTTGGAAAGTTTGGCTGTGAAAGCGTTATGCTTGTATTGTATGTGATTATATTGTGTACTCACAGGGAACACACTTTTGCTCGGTATATCCAGCGATGGAATATCAATGATCAAGTCGGACGACAAGTTCATCATGTACGAATATTCGTACGACCAAATTGAGTCTGTCCAGTTACAATCCTCGGAGAACCTGATAACCATAAATCTGAACCGTTCTCTTCCCCCAGACACACACAAATGTTTCGTATTTGAGACCAAATCAGCATCAGAAATAGCCAACCTCATCACCAGCTATGCTCCAACACTTGCTTCCTCCGATAATAAAACTACAACGATTCGAAAGTTAAAACAAATTACAAACGAGGATCGATTCCGGCTGTACCAAAACTTGATCAGTTGTAGAAAACTGTTGATAGAAAATGGAATTTTGAGAAAACCAAAGGACAACTATAACTTGCAAGTTAAATTAAAAAGTACCCTAAGACGTTTAAGCAAGTCAAAGATGAATGAACAATGGCAACGACAATTTGTTAGAAGATTTGAGCAATTTGAGTATGAGACGGACTTTCCAGTCGAGTAAGTTTTGGAGTATTTATTCCTTGCAGAACATTGCTGAATCCTTTTTGTACTATTCATATCATGCATAATCATTTACGCAGGTACTTTTCATACTCAAAGTATCCTATCACCAGCGCATTAACTGTGCTGGAAAATGAAGAAGATAATCTTAACGCCATTAACGTTTTTCAAATGCTACTGCAATTTGCGGGGGTCCTGGGTCAGATCATTGCGACTGAAGAAGATCAAGCATCTCATTTGCAATCCGTGTTAGAAAAGTGCTGGCGTAAGGAATCAATGATTAACGAATTGGTAAACAAATATTTGTTTTTCACATTAAATAGAGTAAAATATAGTAATGTGTATCTACCTGTAACATTTTACACATACCATGTTTTTAATATTTAGTTTTCCCAACTAATTAAACAAACAACGGATCATGGTAAGTTGTTTAATAGTACTATTTTTTATCTGAACAGCATTATCTACCTATCGATATATTTTTATATATTTTTTCGCAGCCGATCCGAACAGCAAAGTCAACCAGAGGAATTGGGCAGTGTTGAGTTTAATCTGCTCTCTGGTTCCTCCGAACAATGCTTACGTTCGGAAATATCTCTTTGCACATTTGAAGCGCTGTGGAACAGACACTGTAACAGAAGAAGGAAGATTTGCACGTTTTGCTGAGAAGGTTGAATAACATACTTATTGACATGCACACATTTACTCTGCATTATTCCTTGTATAAATATATGACATTTGTAATATGTTTGCAGTGTCTACAATCTACAATAAGCGCAATCACAGCACACACTGGAGGAACAATTGCAACTCAACATCGGCGCCAATGGTCGCCATCCAAGCAGGAAATTCTTTGCACCATAAACCGCAAACCTTTGACAGCCCGATTCTTCCTAATGGATGGCAAATACCATGTTCTCAACTTCACGCCCAACGACACTGCCAGCGATTTGCTTCACGGTTTAATGGCAAAAATTGGGCTCAGTGAATCTGTCAGAGGTAATTAACTGCATAAGGTTACTTGCGACTTATGTATGTATAACTAATAATACCGATACAACTACTTGTACATGGTATAAGATATAGATTTCAGTTAATAATCCACAAAAAGTATTATTTCTCACGGTGCTTTACTAATCCAAAGTCGTATTGTCTCATTGTCAACTAGGATATTCTCTGTACGAGCTTGGTAGCGTCGGTAACTGGGAGCGCTCCCTTCTCCCTAATGAACGCCCAGTGGTATTAAAATTATTAAAATTATTAACGATCCAAGTCAGTTTAAAGATAAAAATATTATAGGAGGTGATGGCCAGATGGGAGAAGCAAAGAAGTACAAATCAGCAACTTCAGTTTGTAAGACATTTAATATTTAATTTAATTAAGTAGTAATCTCTGTGTATGCCTGTATATTCATGCCAAATCTATTTCACTGTGCTCAATAATTTGAAATTTTAATTATTATAACCGATATTCTCCTCAGAAATTCGTCATGAAGAAACACTTATTTACCGAAGTCGAACTTTCTGACCAAGTAGAAAAGGAACTAATTTACCACCAGCTTCTTCACCAGGCGAGGAATGATAGGTGAGTGGGGGTGCTGATTAAGATAATGTCCTTGTGATGACGTGATATTAACGATTTTATGCTAAATTCGATCCATAATTTGTCGGCAGATTTCCCGTGTCAGAAACTGAAGCTGCTATGCTGGTGGCTCTCCAGGCCCAATTAGAGCTGGGTGACTATCGAACTTCTTCAAACTCAGCAGAGTTTCCAGACTATGTGAGTAGAACGTATACATAAATATTAAAATCGACCGTTTATTCGAATTTAATTGCACATCTAAAAGGCACATCGTGTAATACAATTAAAAATTACACGATGTAGACAAGACCATACAATAAACATTTTGTGCTATTTCTTTACCTCTTTCCTCCTTATCGCGATAATCGATATATCGGTAGGAGTTACCCCTTGTCTTACAATTTTAAACCGAGTCTATACTTTTTGTTTTCAGGTCATGGTGTCATCACGTAAGACTATATCACATCATTATTAATACATACGTGCATGTAATGTACTATTTAATAGCAATGGTTAAAAACTAAACTTTTAGGCTGTCTCCCCACGAGAATCGCTGCCAGTGTGAGTCATGAAGCGGTCGCACGACATCATCAAAGTCTGATTGGAACGCCCAGCTCACAAGCGAAGCAGGCAGTACTGAACCTCCTTAGATCTTGGCCTCTGCACAGAGCGAGCATTTTCGATGTCACGGTTAGTTTTATTTATGAAGAAAATTGTCATAAACTTGTGTATAACATAATTTGTGAATGTGTTATTGCTAGCAATCTTTCACTTCAAACTGGCCAAGAACACTGTGGCTGGCTGTGGATCAACAGGGAATTCATCTTCTCCAACAAAGAACGAGGAACACTCTCTGCTCCTTCGATTACGAGATGATAATTTCGTACAGTCCGAGTCCAACATGTTTTATGCTCGTGACTAACGACTTGCAACAGCAACAGAGTGGCAATCCAAAGCCGAGTAAAGTAATTCTCAATACAAATCAAGGGTATCAGATTAGTCAGTTAATGAAGGAGTATATTCAGCTAGTTCTTAGTGAGACGCAAAAGTTGCAAGAAGAAAGGATGCAGAAACTTATTCAACAAAGGCAACAGCAGTAAAGTATATAAATACATAGATTAGACCTATGTATGCATGATTAGACAGACAGGGTTACACGCATAACGATGTATTAATATTGGTTCGTTTTTTAATCGTTTTAGCAGTTTTACTGAAAACACAAAATCAACGTCGCATATTTGTTTTAGAATTGAGACTGATTGTTATAATTATCGAATTAAGTCGGCACGCACACAAGTTGACTTATTCACCTTTGACTGATTTTATGAGTTTTATGTATGGACATTGGACCTTGGTCGTTAGGTTTAACCGTTCATTTTTTTATTGATCACAAATTTGTCATCATAAGTTAATAGGTAGAAATATTCTTAGAAACTATCTGCTACAACCTACAACAGATCTAGTCAAAATAATCCACAAGGTTAATGCACAGTCAACATCTTGCAAAGATAACTAGACTCTCAGTAAACCACCGACATTGTATTCTCATCTTTTTTACTGCTGATAGATTCACTTCAGGCAAATATAATTAAGATAATTGATAGCTAGATCGCTTGCATTGACTGCAACATAACTCATCGATTCTTATATTCTGTCGCTTTAACATGTTGCTCATTTTAAGCCTTTGTATCCCGAAATGGATCTTCAACTCAACCTGCTTCCTATATAAAATACTCAATAACCTGGAAGATTATTAGTTTGATAAGCAGAATTAGCAGAAATGAAAGCTTATTTGTTATTGTTCTTCTCGTACAGCAAACTAATTATGATGAGAGATGATGATGAACATTTAATTCTCCATTCTCGCACCTCTTGAGCAATTTAAACATTTTGAATACTCGTTATTATCATTAATTGGATACAAAACTTGTCAACAACCCGGAAAACGTTATGTAATTGACCTAACCCATTGCAACGAGACGACCTAAAATTAGCATAATAAATTGATGGCCCTAACCAATGATATTGTACTTGTTTACACTAGATAAATTTATTTATAGACTTGTGATCAGTGTAAACAAATTATATTGGCATGCAGAAATCCATGTACGCAACATAGCACATAGCATTAATACGGTAATCGTTACATATTGAACTGTTTTTGGCTCTGGACTTGTATCTGTAATAAAGATAAGAACGAAATAATTGGTCAAGAAGAGTGTTAAATTTAATGCATAATCTGAGAAAATGTCATGTCCATCATCACGCACGCAATTACAGAAAACTGTCTGTCTTCTTCGTGGGCCTTCCACATCGTCTCCTTCCAAACAAGATTGAGAAATCTGGAGAGAACTGAATCGCACTTATTTTGTGATGGCATGACCTAATCTGACCTATTGCGACACATTCTGGGTACATCCTTCGGAAATCATTTTCCTCAGGGATGTGACCCACTTTCAATCTTAATCTTGCAATACTCACAATCAGTCTTGCTATTCAATGCAAAGCATCGCATTTGCCATGTGGAAGGTCCATCCTTCTTTTTCTGGCATTGGATTGGAGCTCGAGATGTAGATTAAAAGTATGAATTATGCGTACCGTAAAATATAATTAAGTCCCCGTTAAATTGTTGGGGATGATTTTGGAGCCGACTTTTTTCGAATAAAGTGTTTTAATACAAATGGGCTATTTGTTTTTACTTGAATTAAGATTGGCTATGAAATGTCGTGTCCCATTGCACGTACATAAGTAATCATTTTGGTTTATTTATAAATTCCATTGATTTGGAATTTCCCTTACTGTCTGGTAACAGATGACGTGGAAGATTAGATTCTACGTTGCCCCTTCATCTCATCTTCTTGTTTCGGAATTTCCAGTAGAAGGTTTAATTCAGTGGCAGCGTGCAGTACAGATTAGTGGAGTCTGTATTGAGCAGGCTTAATCTGTATACACAAATCCCTTCGTCCGGTTATTAATACTTAATTACATACTTTCGATAAGCTCAACAGAGAGAAATTCATGAGTTGAAAATATTCATTATATGTACATCCTTATGTATGTACGTGTATATAAGCGCATAAATTCAGGCAAGACGACAAGACGATGAGGATTATGTGATTACAATTCGTGGTATCATATACCACAACACTTTGATCGTTTCAATATTCATAATTGGTAAACATCAACATGTTATGTTGATATTTCTTTTTACGATTAACTATTGCGTCATGATCCCTCCCTCCTTAAAAGACGCGTCCGCACGTGTATCATGCATCAGTCGAATTTCTGAATCTTTAAAACTGCAACTTTACCAAAAATTTATTGTCGAAAACCTTTCTGGTTATTGTCATATTTATTTTAATCAAATTAGTCTTATTCCATTCTAAGTGTTTTTTTTTTCGCTGTACTAATTGAAATATAAAAATGGAGAACCCATTACGTTACGAAACTTTCAAGTCAGAGAACCCCACAATTTCATCGACATACAGCAAAAATGCTGAAGAACTTGTGGAGTCCATGTCATGGGAGGAAGGGGATATAATCATGGATTATGGCTGCGGATCAGGTCAATTTATGACTGAGTATCTCTTCCCAAAAATTCCGAACCCGAGATGTATTTGCGGAGTGGACATCTCTCCAAATATGATCCGGTTCGCCTATGAAAACTGTAAGAACAAAGAAAACATTTATTTTGCCATTGGGGACATCATGGACAAGTATCAATGGACATTCAAGGAGAAAATGGTTTCCAAGTTTGTGGCCTATTTAGTGCTCTGCTATGTTCAGGATTATCGGTGAGTCTTGACTAAAATGTATAGCTATTGTTATACATATCTAAATATTTGGATCATAAATTCTTCGCCGTAATATGTACATATTTATATCATACAGTTTATTTAATTTGTATTTTGATTTCGATTTCAGCGGATTTATCAGCAAAGTTTATGATTTTTTGAAACCTGGAGGTCAAGTAGGAATGTTGGTGCCATTTTCGAAAGCTTATGGCATTCCACATCAACTCCTTTCCCAGGAGAAGTGGGCACAATATGCAGAGAAAAAAGAATTGACGGTTAGTGCCACATTTACGTAACCCTTGTTTATGTGTAGTGATTTTCATGTGATTAATTAAATGTCCCATTTCTTACACACAGAACCATTCCTCATTCGCACCATGGACCTATGCCGAGGACATTGATGCTCCATCCTCCATCAAAGATTCCCTTCTCAGTTGCGGGTTCCGAATTGATCGATTCACTGTCAATGACATCAAACTGGAATTCCCTTCCATTAGAAATCTTTGCGTAGGTGCACTAATTTCAATCGTCGTTAATACGCATTACAAAACGAATCAACATGTTTTGGAACATTTGTTTATCAAAATGTAGGAATTCCTTTGCACCATCACATCTGCACTGAGCACAGTGCCCGAAAAGTTCCACGACGACTTCATGGAAGAGATGATAGACTACGTGACATCCAATTTGGGCAGCAGCAGAGGGGTGACGACACATCCGGGAGATAACAATTCTTCGGTGATCTCGGTCGAGTGGAAATTTTTAAATTTTGTTGCTACCAAACCTTAAAGTGATTTGGCGATGAACACGTGTATGTGTGTGTTTTATTACTATTTATGCAATTTTACGTTTTAATCTGTTATATAATGCGAAATGTACAAAGTGTAAATATTTGTAACTTTTATTTATGAAATTTGTATCATATTAAATATTTTAAGCATTGAAGTCACAAACATGTATTTACTTGAAGCATCTCATTTTATTATGAAAGCTCAGCTCAAAGTATTGATTAGGTTGCAATTCTATACCACAACATACCAAGGTGTCAACTTAATCAACCCTGTGACTCATATTGAGATTGTTGAGACCAGGGAGCTCATGCTCGAACGCGTCGTTAGCTTAGCGACGTCGTAAAAATTAGCGACACATGCTCAAAATAATTTTTAGCGATGTCGGTATTGCTGAGGACACATTTGAGCATGTGTCCTTAGCACTTGTCGCTAGTAACGACACTGACGTATGCTCAAAACTTTAACTGTCGGTAAGACCATGGAATTTGTCGTAAAAGTTTTCGACGCCTAAATAGCTGTCGAAACGAGATAAATTTGTCGTAATTTGCTGTTAATTAGGATCAGTTCATATATTATGCAAATATTTTATGGTGGAGTGGGTCGAGAAGCTATTAACGATTGTTGACCAGGGAGTGGGTATATGTTGGTTTGCGTAGGTTGACGCCAACTTTTTTTAGGAAAAATTGGGTCGCTGGACTGCCCGAAATTTTGTTATCGGAGATTGGCACATAATTAAATTTAAATGCAATTTCTTTAATTTATATCTCAATTAAAATCAAATTTTAATTTTAGAGCTTTAATTATTACAAACGGGAAAAAATAGTAATTATAGATCAAATGCAATTTCTAAAATTGAATCAATTCCATGAGTTTTGAGACAATGGGTTGAGTTAACTCAACTCAATAATATAAATCGTCGATTCTAACTCAAGTCGACTCAAATTCGTCTCAACTCAAACTCAACTAAATGTCAATGACTGAAACTCAACTCACCTATTTTTAGAGTAACGTATTAAGTAAATGCATTACAAAGATGCCAAATAATCCCATTTGAACTTCTGATTTTTAAATAAAATTTTCGCTGAGTACGATCAAGGTGAAAATCTTAAAAAGGGTAAATTGACAATAAAACATTCTTAATGAGTTTCCGCAACTCAGCTCAAACTCATTATTGTTCAAGTCACTCATTTTGAAATGAGTCGTTTGAAATGAATTGAATGAATGAAATGAATTGACTCAAACTCAATTCAACTCATCCTCAGCAACTCATGAGTCAAATGCGTTGACTCGAACAGTTCGAGTCGAAGTCATTGGCAGTCCTAATCGAGAGAGATTGAAGGAAAAAATATAATTATGCGGCGCTTCTGTGCTTATGAAAAATGAGATTTTTAGATAACTCAAAATTTTTTCACAATTCGCAATTTTTCATAGTAAATTTGCTCAAAAATTAATTTGCTAATTTTTTCAAAACGACTTATTTATAGTATCAAAATTTAGCTTTAGATTAAAATATCAAAGTTGCATTTACCTTAAAACTAATTTTGTACACTCAATATTAAGAGGACCCGTATTTTTGCATTTTTCTGAATACCCGTTTTAGTCCGTAACGGAATTTCCAAACAAATTTTAAGCTAAAATCTTGATTTTGTAAATTCTGTAACTTTTTAAATTATGACATAATTTTAAAAACTCGAAAACATGTCTGCTCACAATGACTTCCCCATTTTACTTAAGAATTTTCTTGGATAGTTTGACAAGTTATTACAAGTGGGTTGAAATTTTATCCCACTCCTACACCTAAAATAAAGTGGTAGTAAACGCAAGAACAAAACTCCTCAGTTACCAAGATCGTTGTGAACCACTCCCTTAATCGGAAATGGATTACAAATTTTAACGATTTTTTTCCGACAATGTCGTTAAACTCATAACGACAACATTTTCCGACGCCTTGACGACAAATGATGAGCATACGTTGTTATAATTTGTCGTTATTAAGGCGTCGTTAATTTACGACGTCGCTAAGTTAAGGACGCGTTCGAGCATGAGCTCCCAGGGTCTTTTGACTGTTTCCTTGGAGGATTTCTAGACAGGGTCATGTCAGTTCAAAAATTCTCCAAAAATTTTTTTTTACAGATTTTAAAGTTTGGGAATACGGACTATTTTTGCTGGGAGAGCTTGGTTGTCAAGAAAAATAAAATATTCAATAAAACGTCATAAATGCATGCGAAAAATTTTTACGTACCGTTTTTGATACCGATCCTAGTTCAATTATTTTATAATTATTTTAATTTGCAATTAAATTAAATCGTTATCATTTTACGACGGTTTATAAAATATTTTATTTTTCTTGACAACCAAGCTCTCCCAACAAAAATAGTCCGTATTCCCAAACTTTAAAATCTGTAAAAAAAAAAATTTTGGAGAATTTTTGAACTGACATGACCCTGTCTAGAAATCCTCCAAGGAAACAGTCAAAAGACCCTGGTTGAGACGATATTACGACAATGGTATTATTATCGTATTCCAAGGTATATACTTAGGATTAGTTTGGAGGGTGCACAAATATGCAGGGTTTCTGATTGCCTATGTATCAATAAATATACTAGCAGTGGCACATCGCAAGCAGTAGTACAACACATAAATTGATACGTTATGGGACCGCGTTATAAATTTTACCTCATTTTGTGACAGGCGTCTGCTGCCCAACGAATGAGGTAAGTATGGAAGTAAACCGGGATTTATTTGCTGCGGTTTAACGTTTTATTACCTCCTGTGGCTTTTGTTTTCTTCTCAACCTGTAACTTTATGCAGTGTATGCTACTAATAACTCACAACTTCCTATTTTGACAAGCAAAGTGCGAGAGATGAAAATGCAAGGCAGTAACGTTAAAAGCATGTCGACGAACATTTCGCACCTCAGATCGTTGTTGTCTTAAGATGCTACAATTTTTTCACATTTTAAGATAATATAGGATCTGAACCTATAGGATATAGGATATTCGTTATAATCTTCTATACTTGCAGATTCATGCCACATAGCTTATGAGAATTCTTGAAAATTGCATAGCGATTCGTTTCTTTATATATTTACTATCCGATCCGAACTAAATTCGCTACGCAGTCAACTTTGCAACAAATTACTTAAACTAATGCTTAAACCTGGTAGACAGATTTACTTCCATAATTTTAATTTATTATTTTCTATTAAGAAGTGGTGGGGAATCTAGGTTATATATGTATTTACATACACATATCACACCCCTTAGTATTTATGTTCCTCATTTTCACAGCTTCAATCTTACATGCATACTAACTACTTTTATACATTCATATGCACTACTATGCTAAATAAAAATATACCCAACTATATAGTTAGGTTAGTAGCAAATGTAGTAGCCAATTTTCATAAAGTCGCCGAGTTTTTTTATAACACAATGTAGCGTAGTCCTATTCACTCATCATCACCCAACTACTACCTTTGAGAATACAATTAAGGATTTGAATAAAAATGGAAACCAATGTCCAATCCACAATAAGGTTTAGTTTCCTACCGAAACATTTTGTGCAGAGCAGAGGAATGCGAAAATAAGTGAGTCAACTTCCGTGTCGACGGTAAGCCTCGCAGTGATAAGAAATATGTAATTCTGTGTCACACAATCGACTTGGACTAAAAATCCGATTTGCTCACCGTACACTGCCTGTGTCAGATTGCACCCTTTTGTTACTCATCCTAAGGAGATTACCTTATAATTTCACAAGAAATCCTACAGCGTTTTCCCTGAGGAGTTACATATGCAAATTACGACGATTTCCATTTTACACGTAATCCATTATCCATCTTTCTTTACACGAGTACTGGCTTACATTACTTCTGATTACTGCAAACATTTCATGCTGCTCACATTTTGCATAAGGTATTATTAAGGTAAAAGTAAACACTAAATGAACCCGAGATAAGGAGCTGCTGGCGGAAGGTTCTTGATGAAATTGTCGGTTCTGCATTCTACCTGGTGGGAAAGGTAACGGGATCTGCTTACGTTTTCAATTCAACGTAACAACAAATGAATTCTCAACGTACGGAATATGTAGCACTTCTGCCATTTACTTATGCATGGACTATCCTATATAAGACTGTCGGTGTAGCATAATTTACGCACTTTGACGCTGATACCCACAACACGTAAGTATATTTCTTGTCCCAGGTGCATAAATTCAGTTGAGTTGCATTTGCAGAACTACTTCACTTACATGAATGCCATGCTTTCTGAACTTTTTGTGAGGAATAGAATGTTTATGGCTTGCTGGGCAGCCAGCAGATAATGCTTTTATTTTCTTTGTACTCGAATCTGTGAAAAGTGTGGGAGTGCATAAGAAAAGAGAGAAAGAAATAGAACAATTCAACAAACACCACCAACACGCTGTTTGCTTTAAGCTATATGCCTTCTAACCTACTTTTGTTGGCTACCATAATATTGTGGCGTTCAGTAAAACATACCGTAAAACAGGTCGACTTTGTGAGAGGAATACTAGAAATTAATAAATTATTGGATTCATCAATGCAATTTCGATCTCATAATACAAACATTTTTAGTGTTGGCGGACGCAAGAGAAACGTACAATGGGTGTAAAATGGAATAAAATTGTAATCATCGAAATTATTCTTACTTTTAGGATTAGTGTAATTCAAATGCAATTATAGACTGATTATAAGTTCCTAATGCATACCCCAATCGAATTATCCTCTCCGATATGGTATTCAATACAACCTACGTACATATGTCTGTGACAGATCTCATTAGTTCTACTTTTTATTATGCTCGAAATTCGACGATAGCAAAAATTAGCTCTTGGCGGAGCACAAGAAAATGGCATTAGGGTTTGACATTTTTTACCAAACCAACTCACTTTACAAATGAACTCAACCGAAGATAAATTACAATTTGCTTAAGTAGATTAAGTTGGTCATTACATGTATGTACTCGTAGTTGTTACAATGTGAGAATCACAGTAGTTGTCTCAAGTTTGTTAGATATGTGGTGTATCTATGTGTGTACGTATAATATTATGGTTGATGGTTTCACTCACGTAAAACACGTCGGATGATGTTCTTGGTGTTTGTAATTGTTTAATCTTTGATGCCAGCCCAGTAGAGTAATTTAGGCGAGATACACAAACACATTTGTGACGGATCGTTAGCTAATTGATTAGATCCATGTCTGCAATTTCGGTAATTTGCTTGTAAGTTATTAAAAAACAAAGTTGGTACGCACAATGTGTCATTTCTGGTTTTATTTAATAATTCCCGGAAACATTTATTATATGCATATATTCACACATATTGAAAATATTGGAATGCAAAATTATCCATATTTTATTACTTTTGCTTCATAACGGTATAGATATGAGATAATGTACATGCGCCATTTGCTAAATAATATTAAATATGCATGGAAGATGCAAGGCCATGATGTTATCATAGCTCTCAAAATTTTTAATACGCTCCAACCAAGGGCGAGGCTGCGACGACTTCGGATCTCATTCTGCGTTAGTGATTGCGATATTTTGCATCAAAAATATTATCCACTCGAAAATACTATTAGTTTTTTTCTTCTTCGATTTGAAAAGATTGTTGAAATGGCTAAACTGAGCGTTTTCTTAGGTTTCTCCATCATTTTCGGCTGGACAACTGGAGAAATTCAACACGTTCGCTTTTACGAGGCTAGTTCGACATGCAACTCTTTGCCAATTGCAACAATTTATGAGTCAACCAACAATGTCAACAGCAGCACATTTGCCTCCATGAGTTTGCAGGGGATGTAAGTTATCGTCTAAAATCTTAAACACATTTGGCACACCAGTCAATTTAAAGATTTTTTCCATTGCTAAACCAGGTGGCAAATTTGGTCGTGTCCTTCGCCCAACTTCAATTGTGGGAGTCCAGTCTCAACTTATATTGTCAATTGCAGTCCCACTCCGTTCTGTATTGGAAGGGCGGCTTCTGTTTTATACAACTTTCGGATGGTGGGGGACTCGGTAAAGCTTAAGCAAGTAAATTTCCCTCAATATTGCGCAAAAAATTTACATCAAGCTTATTCTAGTATCAAAGGTCGCCAGAAATACATCTCTACTCCTCCAGAGAGTTTGCTGGTCAGGTCGTGAAGGTGACAAGGTCGACAAGTTGGAGCCACGCCCCCCTCGTTCACCCTTCTTCGCCCATCCCCTCGTCCGAATTCTCAGTTGCGTCCTTTTGGTTCACTGGCACTCACGAGTGGTCACTATTTTCAGAGACCGATTTCAAAGGGAGCAAAATCTGTCTCAAGCCAACTGGGCAAGTTTTTGCGCAGGGGTTTGGCTTCACTGGAAACAAAGCATTGTCAAATGCTTACGTCATAAAATCTGCTCGATATGGGTGCAATGGTGGACTCGGACTCCGACACGAATTTGCATACCTTGTATTATGTTTTTTGTATGCCTGTTTGGTTTCTAATTATTTGTAAATGACTAATAATTAAGTGATCAGATTAAATTGCAAATTTTTTAATCCCCTTGTAGCAAAATTAATTTATAGTTGATAAAATGAAGAAATAAAGATTCAGCATCGCTCCAAAACTGATCTTAACCCGATGCGGTCCACCCAGTTCCGAAAAAGGACCCAAGAAGCCAGCCAATCACAGCACCAAGGGGGGAAATGTTAAGGGCTCCAGGCTGGTTATACAAATTGATAGTTAAATTTTTAATGCAATTGAAAACAAAAACTTTCGCAAGTAGTTAATGTACCGTTAGCGTTCCAAAGATGCCGATGAAAATGTTGGCCAAAACTTGTCCTGTGGATTTTAGATACACGTTATGAAAACACCCGGCAAAGTATTATTGTCATTATCATTATTGCTCTTACCCAATGGAATGAAATTTAGCTGGGCAGTTGCTGGAGCAGCGGTCGTCGTGTTGCTTGCGGTTGTGTTACCCGCGGGCGCAGGGGCCTGTGCAAATAGACACGATTTATAATTCAGGAGTATAATATTTACCACATTGAACAAATTACTGGAGCAGCAGCAGGAGCTGGAGCTGGAGCCGGAAGAGGAACTGTGGAGATGAAAGATTTTTCGACCCTTAGACAGTGAGAACAATTGATTATTGTGTAAATTCAACATACTGGCAAAGTACATCTTGTTCTGTGGAATTATTGCCACTGCGACGGCAATACAACCGACAAGGGCAGCCAAGAATACTAGTCCACGGGCCATTTTGATTAGGGGATTGCTAAAACTTTTACAAGTTCTTACAATTTTAACTCAACGGAATGCGATGCTGGAATGACTTCGAAACTCCATAAGCTCAATTTTATACCCGAATATGGTCAATAGGAGTCACACCGCAATTATTTCTTTGACGTCAATAAGTTTTAATTTTAGTTTACAAAGTAGCAGACTAGTTTTATTCATGGTGATATATAACTGCACGCCAATATGTAGATACTGTACGTGATGTTGATACAGATGCAGCTTTATCAAATAAAACCTGCCAAAACTTTGTTGTGCTAACACTGCTAACCTTCAAATGATTTAAACTATTGAACTTGAAAGAATATCTTCAAAGGGATGTAGTAGTTTGAAAGTTGAGTATTTTGGCCACCCCCGAGAAATATTTTTTAATTCTGTTGAGGTGAGCTATTTCACCTGATTCAATAAACCTAGTACGATGGGTTCACGGTTTCCAATTCATAAGACAGAAAATGCTTTGTTCAGTCACAGTGGATTGAATATATTTTGCTAACAACTTCTGAATTCAGAAATTTTTGTGGTTGCATAAATGCATAATTAGTTCAATAAGACCATGAAATTATGAAATAACCTACAGTGCAGACTTCATTTAGTTAAGGACAGAGTCCGCTTTTAAATTTGAGTGCAACTTGACCAGAATACTACCACCCTCAGTGGTGGAGATAGTCGAACGTTTATTAAATATTTTCTATTATTTGGAACCATATTTTTGAAATATTTACAAACCCTTCCCCTCGACTCTCGACTACCATGACCAGTGGGGCTTGCTTCTTTACAGTCTTGAACTTTAAATATCGTCTTTTTTCTAGAAGGGAAGCCATTTTTAACCACCAAATATCAAGCTTTAAAAAACGGTATGGGTCTCATCCTCCATGGTCACTTTGATCACTTTTAATTTCATATTCTTCCATGACATGCCATGATGTTTCGCCGTATCGAATTACGATTCCATACAACCCCCAATATTTTGATGTCACTTATTCCATTACATTAGTAAGATTTTAGCATTTTACTTTATAAATGCGAATTATAGAACTTACTTACTTTGCATATATTAACTCGTAAGATATGCACGTTGTATAACACGGCACAAATTTTGTTTTCATAATGCGAATCTATGTATAGCTGTGATGCTATCGTTCATTGTTGCATATCATGCTTTCCCAGCAGCCGCAGCACGCTGACGATATTCACACTAATCCTAAGAACGTGATGCATCTCTTCAACAGTAGCAATGCACGCTAGGATTCTTCAGTCAGCTCCTTGGCACTTTGAGAAGGTAAGCTAAGTAGTCGTCGTAAGAAGAAGGTGATTGTTAGCCCAATGACTTACTCTAGTTTCTGTCTAATTCTCAGTTCCCATCCGTCCTCATCCGTGGACACTTCCACTTCTTCCTCCTTCCCCACTTTTCGCCCTACTGACGCCTGACGACATCCGAAGACACGCTCAGACCTGGCTTTATAAACGCACTCCGAGATTAACTTCAAAGCTGACATTTTTAGAGATTTTTGGCCCCTGTCCTTCAGCAATTTAATTTGAGGAATGGGCACATTATGGGGGTTCATCATATATGCGAAAGTTTAGTGAAAAGTGAAATAAAATGTTCAAAATTGTTTTTACGCCAAAATATTTGCAATTTGAAAAATTATTAAACATTTTAGTTCCTGAAAACGAACTAAACAATGTGATACCAATTGCACGTGAGGCACTATGATACATTCAAGTTAACTATAAGTTTACTCTACTCTGTGATAACTACGTTAGCGAGCGAGGGGAATTCGAGACACGAATTATTAAATTGATACTTATTAAACTTTGCATGGGGTACATAAGACTGGACCTTTTTTTACATTTGGATAATCATCATTAGTGAAATCAATCATGGACTCACATTCGAGACATCACCATCATTCAGTGCACAGTTGCCATCTTAAACACCATGCTAATTCTAATGCTGGAGGAAATGGATTCGACAGGGTGAGCATTATTTTTTTCGCTCTCGACCGATTGGTCTGTTTTCGTACATCTGCGTACAGACTTACGTACTTTGTTGTGCCTGATTCCACACACCGTGGTTGATCATAGTGGATACAGATGTAACGCCTCGGAATAATAAAAAAACACACTTCTTCGAAAAAATTGGTCCAACGCAGCGATGGAGTCGTCTACTAGTCGTATTTATATATATTGTTACGGCCTTTGGCGTAGAAATGGCTCGCTGAGGTGTAGCGTGCATTTATCGTTTAACCCATCATCTATGTAATCTTTAGCTGCTGTATTAAGTGCGTGCATGCACTTTTGCGTGGAAATTACACAACCCTTGTACCATTGTAAAGAGATAACTTTGATTTAGTAACAATAAAAAAATCATCAGATTTAGATTCATGTGCCAAATTGACTTTTATCATCATTCCTCTTTTTGTCCCAAAATTTGAATAATTTGATTGATTTTGCAACTTCCTCTTGATAAATAATCAGTCAGTCTTGACATTGAGTTATGTATGGAAAAAGTAGTTTCCAAATACTTGCAAAATAAAACTATGTGATACATACTATGTGCATACGTGTATTAAAAGGATCTTCGTCGATTTCATTGTTGTAGAAATTTGAATGGAATGAGATATAGTGGAACATGCGTGAAATATCCATAATGTCAAAAGCACAATTGGTACATTGTTTTGAATATATTTATCCATCAGGCAACGCATTGTATTGGTCAACCTGGAGGCATTAGCACTTAATTTACTTGATTGTTGATTAGTCAAGTCAGTCAAAATTCAAGATCAGATATTGCAGTTTCCAGACACACCCAAATATAAATTACAAATAATACTGAAAATTTATTTTGGTAAAACACTACACAAATGAATATGACGCGGTTGGTTTTAATTGTTTTCACAACTCTCAGTCAGTGGCTGCACATGTATATAGTCGGACCAAACTGCATATTATTAGTTTTATAATGATAAAAAACAACAATGCGCCTTTCATTAGAGACAATGATCGTGCACGACAAAATTGCTTTATCGTGTTGCTCACGACAATGTTCATTAGTCGGGGTGTTTCCCATGTGCATCGGTATAATATGGGTGTGAGACAAGTGAAACAACTAAATAAAATTAACTTGATTAATAATCGGAACGCAGTATCAAATTTCTATACCAGAATTATTCCATTACGCCTTAAATCCATATTCTTTGAAATTATTGCTGCATATGATTCAAAATTTGCATTTAAAATCCCTACGGGAAAACACGATTGAATTTTGCTATCTTAATTAATTCACCATTAAATAAAATCTTTTCATGTAATACGCTGCATGCTTTAATTGTTAAAATGGACCACTTTTCTAAAAATTGTGCAATCGAAATGAGAGATTAATACTCGCGATGAAAATTTTTAAAGCATGTAAGTAGCATTCACTTAAGAAAATATACGATTAATGTCATATGAATTAGGGGGATGTTACTCAACTTTTATGCTTGAATTCAAATTTATTTTTTGGTCATTTGAATGAAAAAATGTGTTTTTCATAGAATAAAGGAGGAGACGTGCATCTTTACATAATTTAATGAGGCAAGACTGCATATTATCATTTGTCGTTCCTTTTCTTTACTTTTATGTATTTTGAGGTATGTATTTTAACATCACAGGGAATTGTGCTCCTCATCTTTATTAAATAATAACACAGTGTCTGTCTTTCGATTATATTTTATTGCTGAGGTTTCAATTGTTGAATATTTACGAGTCCCTACTCCGTCCTGCGTCGCTTCAAGGAGAAATTTTTTACAAGAGGAAAATATTTAGGATAAAAGTTCAGTCCAAGTAAAAGCAAATTCAAATATTTTGTAGATGTGTCAGTAGTTTTGTTCTAATTTTTTGGATTGTTGAAGAACTCTGTCATATAGACAATCCAAATGGGTCGTGCTGTTTTGCAAAAGTTATGCATTTCATGGCGTCATATGGGGTGTGCAGCAGTAAGCAATTGCAAACTTCCGTCTCTGAGTTTGTCTCACAAATTCGTCAGCTGATGTGCAAAGAAGAGTTTTGGTGCACACAATTTAATAAAACTCACAAATAAAATGATTTGCATCATAATCATATTTAAAAGTTGGTACTTGTCGAGTAGTGCACAAGTAGCGAGTCGAAACAATGGTTGGATTCCCACTTTTAAATCTCGGCTGGGGTTTGAGATTTCTTTTTATCAATTTAATTATTTATTCAACAATTAGAAAATGAAAATCACAGGTCTTTGTTGAACTGTTGCGTGTTTTCATATTAATTTTTTAAATTTTCCACCATCAGGAGGAGCTGTCAAATAATATTTTGTTCTGACAAAGTATGAATACCGTGAGCAGTATGTTCGCCTCTGAGGTTTAAACTAATTATTATGTGGGATAAAGAATATGGTACATTTGGCGTCGGTAGATACATTATGAAGCATTAAGATCATTACTTAAAGTAATTTAACTTAACTTACGTAATTGCTTCATGATTCAAGGTTTTGTATATATTTCATAAAATTAAGATCAAGATTTCAGCTTCAAAGTGATATGTCGAATAAATATTTCTGCTAGTGTGATACAAATTTAAATTGGAGCACTTCAGGCAACACTGGGATTGAGGTTTTTGTACGGTGCGCACAGACGATTTGGTTGAATTGACGAATTTTTAAGATAAAATTCACCTAGTGACATAGTCAATGTATGTGGAATACGGAAACCGCAGGAAAAAAGGATGTCAGTCATAAAGCACAATGTAAAAGATGATCCTTTTTAGAGTTACACACTTTGCGTCATTCTTGACAAAACGCTAAGTATTTTCTTTCTAATAGCAATTTTGCGGCTCTTGTACATATTTCCGTCCCATGCATGAATCTAATTCGCTTTTATGAATACTTTGTATACACACGAGTTAAATACTCATCATATGTGTTATTTAAGTTATAATCAAAATTAACAATTGTTAAGAGCAAAGTCTAATACCTGATAATCAGAATACGTTTCTGTGCAAAATGAATTTCTTCAAAAGTTGAAAGAACTTTTGACTCTTATTATGGACCATCTGTTCCTATTATTAATTTATTCATTATTTTATTACTTCTGTGGTTCGGCAATATTCTTAATTCGTTATTCATGGCATTTCATGAATTGATTCGACACTACTTCTCCAATCTTTATTGCCGACAGCTGTCACTTTTACTACTACATATTTAGTATGGGCCCAAAAGTAATTTACTTGCACGAATGGTGGTTGGCCTGTTAGTGGTCAATTTGAATTTTGAAAAAATGCTGCCATTATTAGAAAAGGTGAAAGAAGACGTCGATAACTTTTCAGTCACAAATATGAATGCGCAATAAAATCGAAAGTTTATTGTAAAAGCAGTCTCATCCTTTCTTCTTCAATCTCTTACAACAATTAAATTTCGATGGTACTCGTATTTAAATACATGCACGTGTATTTATGCACCTCTCGCGACAGCACAAACTAGACCACTTAGGATTAGCAGCAATACGTTTATCTACAGATTGAAAGAAATGAATGAAATTATGAACCATTTACGACTATGTATGTGCATAAGAAGAAGTGAAGAACTATGTTCTGCTAAAATTACTTCATGCATCAATTATCGTGACTGCTGCTGCGTGAAACTTATGCGTGTTCATCATCATCATCTCATCTTCATCCCTGCAAATTCTTCACTCTCAATCCTGCAAGCGAAACATGAGTAAAAAACCAAACAAAATAATCAAGACGCGTTTTTCATGATCCCTCAAAATTGGGACAGAATTAAATGCCAGACCCACCAAGGCTTACTTTTAAGAGTTAATTTATTTAATACTCAACCACTGACCAAACCGCAACCAGCGTTCATCTTCTTACATCAAGGAATCCGTATACTTTTCCTCATAATTAATACATACTTCAGCCCCAATCTTCCTCACGCATCAAAATTATCCCATTTCCCTACAACATCAAATTCCTGAATTGGTGCGGATTAAGTTAATTTTAGTTTAAATATTTAGTTTCTGTGCTGCTTTTGTACATAATTCTGTCATTTTTTTGGTTTGGTGACTATGCATGTGTGTGGTCCACTTATAAGTACTTTAATAGATAATTTGGCTTTAGCGGAAAAATATAATACACATTTTATTTTATTTTTGCATAGCAAGAAATATTGAATTTTCTAGTAAGTACATGGACGTCAAATAAGCATATTTCGATGAGCTTTTGACACAAATCGACTAAACATGAACTGAAGAAATGTGTACGTAATTCTACGACCTTTCCTGTATTTGGCTACTTTTCTTTAAAAAAATATTTCACGGCTGACAAAATGTGCAATATTTTGCATTCAGTTGGCATTGAGTTGGGAAAATAAAATTTAGGCGAGTGAAGATTTATGTCAATTACTTTTTGTTGTAAAAAGCATTCAATCGTTTAGCACCTCGTTTACTCACTCTGCATTTCTTTTAAGCAGGACAGGATGCAATTTTAAAAGAACTTGACCCGAAAGTAAAAGCATTCTAAAATCCTAAAATCAAATAAAATTCGAAAATTGACCAGTATAAATGATTAATTGAAAGCCATGATGTATGAAGGCGAGATTGATAAAAATGTTAATTATCATTACACACCATATTTACAAATTTTTACATTTCCTATCATGACTGCACAAGAAAAAAGAGTAAAAATGAAATGTACATATGCAATGGGAATTACTGTAACGATTGTTTTACAAAATATATTAGTGTAACGTGCTTTAAAATAATTAAATAAATCCAAAAGTGTAAAAGTTGTGCATATGTAAATATACATGCATAACGCACACATACGTATACGTATGCGCATTTTATTTATGAATTAATGAGTTTATCGCATGACATTTTCTAATTTTTCACAGTTATTAGTAACATATTGCACATTTCTGAATTCATAGTTTATTAATCTCAACAATGAATTCCTACAAAAACATA